CAGCCAAAACTTTTGAGACTTAAATCTACAATCTCATATAAATCAGTTGCTTTGAAAATGTTCTAGGCTTCTCTTATTGTTTTTTTTTTTTCCCTTAAAAATAATCAGAAACAGGTCTAAATAATAGGATTTATACCTAAATAAAGCTCTCAGCTCTTGAAATTTTCCATAGATCGATTATTTAATGGGTGTCGGGGTTTGGTAGCTAAAGAAAGACAAGATAGATATCTTAGATATCATAGATATCTTTCTCTAGGGGATAAAATTGGTTCTACAAAGCTTCCTGAAAGCCAGGGATGACAGTCCCATATCTAGGTAGATAGCAGCCAGATGCAGTGTTATGACAGAAGACTGATCCCTGTAAGTGAAAGACAGATGAATGGATGGACAGATGCATGGGGAGGAAGGGGGGGTAATTGCTCCACTCAGGAGCCAGTCGGACCTAAAGAGGCAGACATGTAGACCAGATACAACATATGATCTCATCTGTCTTTATTTAGTCATAATTATATGCAATCTTTTCTTTGGAGGTCAGAAAAGATTTTCTTCTAAAATCTGTTTGGCTGTAACTCAAAATAACTGACAGAGAGTAAGGGCGGATAGGTTTTTATGACTGCCACTCAGGTGACAGACAGACAGACTGACTGACGGTCGGATCGGTGACATCATCCTGGAAGCAATCTCTGAGGCCGCATCACGTCACTTCATACCGTGACAGCTGGACGGAGACAGATATGCCCGAGTGGCAGACGTAGGCAAATATAAAACTGCAAAAGTTGTCCTTGTGCCAGTCATTGATACCCCAACAATGACACCTTTTTTTCACTGATAGGCCTAGGCCTCTTTTTCTTGCTCTGCATCTTTCAAGTTTAAACCTTGACTCGGACTCAGTTAAAACCATGTTTAAATCAATCAACTAGAATATTTCTCAAAAAACTCCAGAATTGAAGCCAACCCAATGTTCCTGTTTTGGTTTTAAGTTATATCAAAATATGAAGGGTTAAAGGAGACAAAATTAAATATGTAAAAAACTGTTGATTAGATTGATCCATTTATCATTAAATGTCCCATTAAATAAATAAAAAAAAAACTGCATATTACTGATAATAAACACAGCTGGTTAACTAGCAGGCTGAAGGAAACTGTATGTAGCACCATAGAAAAGAGTTATGTTTCAGTATATTTATTTTATCATTATTTATTTATTTTTTTAAATATATTTAAGGACATGAAATGAAAAGAAAAATGGAAAACAATAAACTTTTTCTAGGAATAAAATAAATTAGAGAAGATAATTAGCAGTTAGATGATTTCAATTAGACTAACTGGCACATCAGTTGAGTTGCCCGATCTTTTTCTCTCTTTATTTAACAGATAACATAAAAGACAATCCCTTGCACTTTACTTTAAAGGTTGGCTAGCAAGTTGCTGATTAACTTGTAGGTAACTTGCATAACAAATTAAAATCCATTTTACCAAACGATATGTAATAAGTCATATTTAATCAGACTGAAATAAATAAATAAATAAAAAAGTATTTCTAGTAATGATTTGGTTTAGTCACCTAAAGGCTAACTGAAATGTAAACTACTACTATATTGTTAAAGATGCTCATTGTAATTATAAGGTAATATAATTACATTAATTACATCATAAACCTGAAATTTGTCATAAATGTTTTTTTTCTGAGGCATGTGAAGAAATACTGCGTGGCCAGCTAGCATTGTGGATGTTAAATCCTAAAGAAGTTGATGTAAGCTAACATCATTGGTAATTTTATAATATGAAATTCTTATTTTATTTTAAAAACGGCCAAAAAGTTTAGTTTAAAGTTATGCTTAGATCCATCAGAGAGCTTTAAAAGAAAATGAAAATGGATTTTCATACAGTATGCATCCAAAAGCACACAGGCATGCATGAAATCAAACACCACATCCAGTAAAACAAGTATAGCTTATGTACTGTAGCTATAGCCTAACTAGGATTTACATCTACTATATCGAGCATTTTGTCTTTGCATACATGTAACAATCCTTTATAATCATGTATTGAATGGAAAATTGAAAAAAAGATGTTTTTTAAAACATGAAATTCATTATCATAAAACGGTTTGTTTTATTTGTTCAAATTCTGATATTTATATATATATATATATATATATATATATATATATATATATATATATATATATATATATATATATATATATATATATATATATATATATATATATATATATATATATATATATATATATAATAGAGATTTTATTTCCAGATTAAGTTTTATGAATTGCATTGCAGATTAGTGTCAATGTTTCTTTGCTCCTCCATTTAGAGGGAAGCCAAACCCTTCAAGTGAAGAGAATAGGATATGAAAAATGCTATATTAAAATAATTAAATTCATCAAACTCAATCTGTAAAAAAAAAAAATGAAAAAAAATTAAATTTGAAAAAAAAAAAAAACAATGAGAAAACTTCAAAGTGACCAGCAAAATGTTTTGATTAAGAAATAATAAAAAAAAAAATCTGTATTGCATATTTGTGCAACGTCCATTTACAAACTGTGTTTTATTAATCAAATCTTTATTTACAAAACTTTTAACAATAATGGAACATAGTTAACTCCATATTTATTTACAGAAGAAATTTATTGACATGTGTTTGGTTTATTATCTTTGCCTCATTTAAAAGGCTCTCCCTTATCTTAACGTTTCTGGTCTTTTAAAATCTTTGTACCTGAAGAATATTATCTGTTATTAATAAACCATAGCCCGCTAATGTTAAACTGCTTTATTGTGGCCACTCAAGCTATGAACATGAAGCTTCAGAGTTATTGAGTGTGCCGCTGTATGAGTGATACCTTTTTTACTACAAGGAAAGCCTGTAGAACCAGACAGATGTATGTTATAAATGCTGCCTTTCAAAGTTTTTAATTAAATTCTACCAGACTGGATTTTACTACCCATTCACTAGAAAATGAAACAAGTTGTTAGCTATTGGAGCCGTAGGGGGCTTCTATGAGTCAACCGATCTAATATAAGCTTAGCCATTTAATGACTGCAGAGGAAAGGTATTCGTCTTATTCTAATTGTTGCCTGCTCCTTTTTCATGTCATTCATGATCAGTCTTTACGCAGAATATGGCTTTAATGTCATATTAAAAAAATGCTGTGGAAAAGATGGAGTAACGTCATGTTTCTGTGTAACAGGATATGAACTGGGCATTTTAACCCTGTAAAGCCCAAACAATGAAATAATTATCAGAACATTCTAATTTTTTTTAAACAATTAAATTGTCTGGCTATTATAAATTTGCACATATAGGTTTTATAAGTTCTGATACATTTCTTTACATTTTTTTTAGACATTTTCAGTTTACTAGATGTGTCTAATTGTATACCTAACGTTTTACAGGAAAAAATTATCCTGATGATGAAACAGAGATCCTAAAAACTGTTGTATCAAGTGGTGGAACCAGACAATTTTTGTAGGGGTATCTAGGCAGGGAAAATGTGCACTAAAGCAATATTTATTATTCAGACCAGTAGTTTGGGAATCCTTCTGAATCTGGTTGCTGTCTGTCTACAGCTGGAGCAGATAGCCCATTTGTTAACCTGCCTGCAAGAACCTTGCCTGAAGTTGGAGCTCATCTTCTCAAAACAGCTTTCTCACATATATGTACTAACAATACAGAAAACTGCATACAGTGAAAAATATTTTATAGGCAAAGTGAAAAGACGGGTGGATTTTGTAGAAACGTGTTAAAGGAACCATCAATGACATCTCTGTAGGAACTGTACTTTGTCTGAAAAGGCGTACCTTCCCAGACAGCTGGGTATTGCTGTATGTGGTTATGATGGTTTAGTCCCCTCCCCTGCTGACGGGAACAGTCAGAAATCATCGGAGAGTGCCAGCTCACCCCTCTTGGCAGCTTCAGTGGTAGAGTCCCGCCTCACTGGGGTAGAGCACATGTTAGATGATGTTAGGATGTGAATCAGAAGAGACGGAGGATCCTGTTCACATAGGCTGAATAATGGACTAAAGTTCAGCCTCCTTTAATAGTAATATTGTTGAATTATTCTCCATACAGCGACTTAAAATTCTATTAGAACAGGTAAGAAGAAAGGTTCCTTGAGTTAAAAACCTAAAGAAGTGTCGTTGTTATTTATTATAATGTGATTTTCTGAAATTTCAGAACTTTTAGAAGAAGCACTGTTTGTTCTGGTTGCAATTAGTTCATAGTGTGTTTGAATTAACTTTACTTTCAAAATGAAAATGTAATCTAAACCTTTATACTTTCATAATGAGTTAACATATTAAGGAACCACTGGAACAAACTGTGTTTACAGTCTCCTCATGCACTCTCCTCTCATTCGTGTTGCTACTGCACCCAAGAGCTTGTTGTTGACATGAGTTTTGAAATAGCTGCAGTCTGAGCGATCCACCATCTGGCCCCAGAGGGGTCACTCAACCTGGAACATCCCACATATGAGCCAGTGAATGTCTTTAGGGTATTGTTGGTTATTTGTCGTTGGAATTATTCCAGGAACCAAGAAATTGTCAAAAAGTAGCTGTAAAAGAATTGTGCAAGATCTAAACAGCCAGTAAAGTAGCACATGTATTTTAGCAGCCAGAGATCAACAGAGGAAATTTGCTTCTCCTCTCAAAGTCTATATTCAGACATTCATACTGACAATGTTTAAATTGTTTCCATTTGTAGGGCATGACTCTAACTGTTTCATGTTGGCCCCTATATGCCTGTGCTGACGCAACATGACAGGAGCTTTAGCCCTACAAATTGGCTATTAATAGTGCTGAAGGGTTTATGTTGCTAGTAGAGATGCAGCATGTGGAGCTTTTGGATTGCAGGAGCTGGATTCAAGGAGGGGGGGTCCACTTTTGATGTTAATGGTTTAACCATTTCTTGTATAATGCTGTAATTGTCCTCAATCTCTACTTATTTTCAAACCATTTAGTATTATCTCTTGGTTCTTTCAGATCTTGGGCATACTCAGGGCCCACTTGATGGAAGTCTTTATGCACGGGTTCGAAAGAAAGACTCTTTGGAGGGAGTTGTTACGATCAATGGCCTTCCAGTCCGTGAAAACCCTTTGACAAATACAGAAAGTACTCTGCAACAATCTAACCATCCGTTTCAGAAGACTGAGCAGTCCCTTCCAGTGGCAGGCCACACTTCCCTCCCTGCTGTAGATCATACTCTTTCTGTGAGCAGTGACTCAGGCAACTCCACTGCATCTATCAAGACTGATCGCACTGATGACCACAGCCATTCTCTGCACACTGCTGTGGGCCACAACAACCCTATATCAGCCCACCAAACACTTAGCCCACAGGAGAAACGAGAACTAGACCAGCTTCTAAGTGGTCTTGAGCCACCTCCTCAGCGCCAGGCCTACCTGTCTACCAGTCCGGGAGGAGGGGTTCGACATCTGGTTCCAGCACAGGTACATGTCAACAGTGGCCATACCCGGGTTCTCGGGGCACCATCAACAGAGGAGCGTGAAACTGATATCCTTGACGACGGACTTCCTATTAGCCAGGAGGGCAACAGTGTGGACAGCTTGGGCACCATCTCATCGTTAGACGGTCAGGCAACACCAGCTAGCCTCTACTACCAATCACAGACACCTGTGAGTGGCCAGAACGACGGTCTATACCTTGAGAGAACCTTTCTAGGGGAAAAGCTGAACGAAATGCCTGTGCATGGAGTGCGGACTCCTACAGCAATGCAGGAGAGGTCGGTAGACTTGTCATCACCCCAGGGGGGATACAACAACTACCAAAATGGAGGTGCAATATACCATTCCCAGTCCTTTGGGAATCAAGCATCCAGTAGCCCTGAGACCAATGCTAAAATTATGCCCAAGGCCCCTGAGAGGAGTACCAGTAGTCGAGAGGCAGTTCAAAGAGGTCTTAACCACTGGCACCAGCATAGTCTTCCAGATGATCCTTTTGGGCCACCTCCTCAGTCAACCCACAGCCTGCCTCATTTCCCAACACCAGCCTCACAGCGAGATATTGAACAGTCCATAGAGGCACTAAACTTGCTGATGCTTGATTTAGATCCAATCAACTCACATATGTCCAAGTCCCACAGTGCACCCCCAGGAGATAACACCCTCAGTTCATCCCAGATACCGTTTTCCCAGACCCTGGCTAGACCATCCTACCAAGGAGACTCTGCCATCCATGGCTACCATAACTCTGGGTCAGGGAACAACACCTATCACCAGCAGCCACAGCCAGCTGGGAGAGTTCCAACAGTGCCTAACCAAAGTCCTGTCATGGAGTCTCCAACATATTCCCCCCAAAGGTCCAACACAAGTTACCAATTTCAGAACACCACTCCAACACATACTCCTGAGCCCTTTGTTCAAACACCTCAAGGGACCCAGCACTACGCCATAGATAGCTCTGCTAATCTCAACCAGCCATCTCCACAGAAAGTAATGAACTCAACAAATAGAGTTTCACAATCCCCAGACCTGCATGGGCCATCTCCTTACCCAGGGTATAGCACCTCTTCTTCTCCCGTTCCTGCCCTCACACCCCAACCCAAGGATATGTCTTCTTCTCCCTTTCCAAGAGAGCAAGATGTGGAGGAGGAAACTCTAAACTTGGAAGGCCTGGTTGCACATCGTATCGCAGGTAAGATGTTCCTGATTAATTTCAGTTGCATGTATGCATTGAACTGATCGAGTATTGTAAAAAGTCATACTTTTTTGAGAAACTAAAATAAGGATAATCACTAGCCTGATTTTAGCCCCAATTATTATTCTAATTGAAATAAATTTTTTTATTCTTCACTGTTTTCACTGCTGTTGCAAAGTTTTTTTTTGTTTTAATGGTTCATCTCATCAGCTTAAACCCATCAATCTACAAATATATATGGATCTGAAACATTTAAATGCAATTAAAATTAAAGGAAAAGTCCGGTCAGCATGAATGATTAATGTATCATTATTGATACCTAAAACTAATACGTTTGCTGTGATTTATTGAATTCAGCATTAAGCAGTAAAAACATTAAAATAATATTTTTTGTTGCGATCACTGAATCTAGGACCGGCCTTTTTTGCCCAAATAGGTATCAGATCTGCTTGGGGCCCTGCCGCTTCTTATGACGTCAACATTTAGCAACTCCACTCAGACAAACTGTATTGCAACCGTTTCTTAAGGATGGAATCTCTTTTGGAGTTTTAACATATTATTACATATATTTGCTATTATTTTACATTTCACATTTGCCGAAACTATAAAACAATAACTGTCAGTCTTGAAGGAAAGTACTGCCTTCTAAGACAGACTAAGCTCTGCCATTTAACAAGGTGACAAAAAAAGTCTCAGCTTTTTTATTCTTTTTATTGAGATCTGAGGGCAGAGGAGGACAAGGACCAGAGCAGATCTGACCACCCGAGCAGACCTGGTACCTACACTGGCAGCGACGTCATTGTGTGGTCAGCCGAGCGGCATTCTCCCCGCTTTACAAGCAAAGTCAATGGGAACTACTAGACACGCTTCAAAAACAACAATTATTTAAGATTTCGAGAGGATTTCACCATTGAAATTTCACCATATGACAATTTCCACGTGCCTGGCAGTTGGATGTTGTGATACATCGGTTATAAGTGAAAAAAAAAAAAATTGGTAACTTCAAAAATTGCACGTTGCGACAAACAACAGATACACCATTGGGACTTGCTCAACAGCAGATATCGATATCGGACCGTGATGTCACAAACCAGTAGGTGGCAGTAGAGTTCTTTGACAAACATGGATGTGTCCAGTAAAGCACATTCAAATTAAATTACTCCTAATTAAAAACACTTATCATTTATTGAACAGAATGTAATGATTTTATACTTAAAGTAATTTCAGAAGTTTGAATGCTGAATATCACAAGACTTTTGCTCTAATTTCAGTAAAAACTTTGAAGAGATTTATCGAACATATACATTTTCTTCCATCCATCCAATTATCTTCCTTCGGTTATTCCGTCAGGGTCACGGTGGGGCCGGTGCCTATCTCCGGCAGTCTATGGGCGAGAGGCGTGACACAACTTGGCCAGGTCACCAGTTAGTCACAGGGCAATACGAAGACATACAACCATGCATGAACTCATACCTAAGGACAGTTTAGAGATGCCAATTAAATAGTTACAGACAGACTGCAACAGACTGGTGACCCACAAAATATTTAAATATATGCAAAATGTTTTTGCACATGAGGCATCTGAAATATTAATCTGTCTACAGTCTTTGCTATCCATCTGACAATTTTATCAGACGTAGACTTAATGCCCTGCGCTCGGTGAAGGTGGTCTGACGCATGCCAGGTGTAACACCTGAAGTTGGAGCCCCAACTAATTAATGCTTGGTGTTGAGATGATATTTAAGGCTCGAAGGTGCTTCGGTATAACGAAAAGTCTTTCTTGCAAACCACAAAATGTTCTTTGTTTTTGTTTATAGTTGAACTCTCCATCCAGCATGTCAGACAATTGAACTGTTGGTAAAACAGGGCGGGAATGTGTTAATGGGTTAAAAAAAATATCGCATTGATTCCAGAAATTCATCATCTCGCGATAATGTGTTAATTTTGACAGCCTAAAAAAAAAAATATATATATATATATATATATATATATATATATATATATATATATATATATATATATATATATATATATATATATATATATATATATATATATATATATATATATATATATATATATATATATATAAAGGTGCTGATGTCAGCAGCACAGCTGATATTTCTCTCCAGGATGGTGTCACAGCCAAACAGGAACAAACCAGGTGAAGCTACTGTGATGAGGACAAAGCAGAGAGATCATAAAGTTAGATGTTTCAACTAACAAATTTTGCAGGATGGAAGAATAGAGATAAAAATAGAATGAAAGCAGAATGATGTAAAGGGGTCCCTATGTCCTCCATCAGTCTAAGTCCATAGCAGCCAGCTATGCTTTAGCTATGCTAAAGTTTAATTTACAAAACCTGTTATTTTCTTTCAACAATAATGAAACAAAATGCAATTGAATTTGAGACATAGGTGTACTTGGAAACTTTAGGGTTTTTATCTTTCAGACAATATTAAAATAAAGAAGAAAATGTACAAGTTTAAAGTTAAATAATCGTCCAATTAAAGTTAGATAACCACAATATTATTACATTAATGTGTAGGTCAAGACTGGAGTATGCACATGAACTCTACTTGTAAAATGAAGATCATCCTAAAAACTGTGATATAGGAATGCATGAAAAGCTTTATTGCATTTACAAAATGATACAAAGCCTCTCTGACTGTTTCCCAAATGCTGACAGAGGCTTAAAGAGGACTGTAGCAGTGCAGCTTTCAGCAGTTTGTGTTACAGATTCATGGTAGGGTGCCGTACCAGAGCACTGACCTCATAAAATTAGCTCTGCAGCTGAAACGAAGCAGAGCTGGTGACAGCAGAGAGTGGAAGAAGAGTAAGAATAGCCAAGCAGGCAGGAGCTTCTATGCATTATCTGCATTCAGAGTGCACATTTATCTCAATAATCCCTCTGCTGCCTTCTAGTGGAGCTAAAGTGTAAACACAAATCATTTCATTTATCAGCCTGTTACACTTTCTATGATTTGATTTCTTTTCTGTTCTTTTGTCCCCTTGTATTTTGTTTTTATTAAATCCATCTCTGTGGAAAACCTTTTCCTCTTATTGCCTCCTCCTCTTCACCTTTCTCACCCGGCTGCCTCCCCTCCATCACCTGACTTCCCTCCCCCTTGGAACAGAGTACAACGCTCGTATTCGGGGCATCAGTGAAAGCATGACATCCCAACAATCTGACCGCCATCGTTCTTATTCCTTCTCTGGTTTGTCCATTTTCCCTCACTTTTAATTTTCTCATTTATTTTTTCCTGCTTCCCTTTTGTCTTTTGTTCCTACATCCCAATTCTGAACTTTTACTTTCTACACCCTTAGCCAGCTTGCTTTAGCTTTGGCTTGTTAGCATTTTTGGGTCTTTGTTTAGCAATCTTGCTAAATGTTCTATGCAAGCTTTCCTTATATAAACTACATGTTGAGTTTTTGCTGTGAATGTTTTTTGGGGGGGGATTTTCAGGAGTTCGCTCCAGAGGAATGACCCCAGAGGTGACACAGGAGACAGGCAGGCGCCGGACCACGAGCGAGGGGCACTATCAGAGCGGCCACGATAACGTCCCATCGTCCCAATCACCGGACTTCGCCAACAACCTGGCTCTGAACCCTGGGGGAAGGCCTAGAGAGGTACAATTAAACACCTGAACACTCCCAGCAGGAACTTGCGTATGCTCTACCAAGCACATTTTGGCAGCAATAAAAAAAAAATGATTTTTACAGAACTGTTTTGCCAAAAGCAGTTACCATAATCTGGAATCATGTCCTTTTACACTTTAGCTTTCTCACTGTTTTAGGAGTTATTGGTTGCCGCTCCTTAGTCGTGAAGCCAAAGTTTTTTGTCAAAACAGATGTTAGGGTTGTTAAATTTCCCCAACCTTAACCTATAAAAAATGGAACAAAGACAGTGTAAGATTTTTCCTGAAATGCTTTGCAAAGGGGAGTCCAGAGTTGAACCCTCAATCTCTGCATCTCCGCTTGGCTCAACACTTGCCAGGCTTTTTATTGAGCAGTCAACACATTACAACAGCAGGCGTTAGTTTCGATTACGCAGTCTCTTAGACATAGCATGAACTTTTAAGATAGGGAACTTGCCTGGTTTCAGTATACGCTTTACAAAAGATGTCGGGGTTATGACTTTTAACTTCTCTGCTTCTCAAATGAAAAACAGGAAAGCATTCTTGCAAAACATTCGACCGTCTTATGACCTTCATACACTATTTCCAAAGATGGGAATGGCATATAGAAAAACAAATGATTGAGAGCAATTTAAAACATATAAATGATTAAAATGATAAAAACAACAGAAATCATATTAACTCCAACACAGGTTTTGATGCTTTGCGTTTTTCGCAGATTTTTTTTATTTACCGTATTTTCACGACAATAAGGCGCACTTAAACGTCTTTTTTTCCCTCAAAATGTGCGGTGCGCCCTTTGGTGCGGTGCGCCCTATGTGTGTTGTAACTGCGACTTTTGAGACCACCTCATTGAGGAGATGATGAAAGAGTGGGTGAATGTAAGGAGACCAGGTGTTTTTTTTCCACTCATCACCATCGCTGTTAATCTGTAACTCCATGCGTGCCCATCTCACAGCTGATGTGAAAAACATGGGGAAACAAATTAACGCTGTGCTCGTTGTTCAACCGCTCGACATCGGTGTGAACCGGACCCAGCAGGTGCAGCAGAAGCAGCAAGTTTACATGCAAAGTCAATGGTTGACGCGCGTATAGGCGCAGCAAAAGGTCCCGCAGCGCGTTTTGAGCAGCAGGCGCAGCGCGTCGGGAGCGTTTAAGCATCTGACGCACTGCCAACGCGCTGCTGCAGCTCGAGATGGAAAAATTGAAGTTTTGCTGCTGGACGCGCCGCATCAACCAATCAGAGAAGCTGATCTGGGAGCTGACAGCAAGACAGACACAGTGCTCTGCTGACATATGATATTAAGGCAAATGAAAAAGGCTGGATGGATGAGGAGATGATGAAAGCGTGGCTGAGGCAGGTGTATGTGAGGAGACCAGGTGGTTTTTTCCACGCATCACCATCGCTGTTAATCTGTGACTCCATGCGTACCCATCTCACAGCTGATGTGAAAAAAAAGGTGAATCAAATGAACGCTGTGCTTGCCGTTATCCCGGGGGGTCTGACAAAGGAACTTCAACCGCTCGACGTCGGTGTGAACCGGCCGTTCAAAGGCTGCGAGCGGCGTGGGAGCGATGGATGACAGACAGAGACCACAGTTTCAGGATAAGTGGAAGGCAGCGCCGGGCAAGTTACGCCACCGTTAGCGGATGGATTGTTGATGCTTGGACTAACGTGTCTGCTGGCTCTGTTGTTCAAGCTTTCGCAAAAGCCGGCATTATTTCTCAGGAGCCGCCCGGCACGGAAAGTGACTCTGACAGCGAAGAAGGGGAAATTGGCATGTTTGATTTAGCGCAGCTGTTTAATTCAGAAACAGAGGATGATGACTTTGATGGGCTTGATTAATACTTTGTAATAAATACATGAATAAAGCACAATCATACTCAGTTTTGCTCCCGCTCTATTTTTCTACCTGAAAACTTAATTCAACAGGAGCCTCTGGACCGGGTCTCCTCCGGTTTCACCGCGGCGGCTGGCAGGTGTTTTTTCATCTAAATAATCTAAATCTTGCAGCTATATTTGCTGTGATCAGTGGGAATAAAGTAGTTTTAATATGTTTTTAAGTGAGAAAGGCCACCTGAAAACTTCATAATTGCAGTCAGTTCATCCAGATTATCATTCTGCCTATACTATTTCTGTCGGAGGCGCTCAGACCCCCACATACCAGCGGTACACCGACAGTAGAAATCCCTTCATCAGCAGCCTCTAGGCTGGGCAGCCTCCAGGTTCACCGCGGTGACTGGCAGGTGTTTTTCATCTAAATAATTTAAACCGCAGGCACCAGGATACCGGTAATAAAATCTAACATATTCCGTCCGCAGGTTTCAGGAGTTTAAGTTAATTTAGGAGTGATCACAGCTCTGTCATCTGCGATGTGTCTGTCTCACGGCCAGCTCCCAGGTTTGATTAATACTTTGTAATAAATACATGAATAAAGCACAGTCATACTCAGTTTTGCCCCCGCTGTATTTTTGAATACGCAGTAGAGCTATTTAAAGGTAGTAGAGGACATGTACCTGCATATAAAAAAACGCGCCCTATAGTCCGGTGCGCCTTATGTGTGTGTTAAATACAGAAATGGGACACATAACTGAGAGTGCACCTTTTAGTACGGTGCGCCTTATGGTCGTGAAAATACGGTATTTAATTGTTTAATTTGTTTTACAGTTTATATTTTCAAATGAATTCTTTTCAAAATTGTTTTAAAGGAATAGTACACCCAAAACATGATTAGCCTTCATTTTCTACTCACCCCCATGCTGAACAACACTCTGGAGTACTTTTTTGATATCTCAAATGCATCTGGAGATCTGGGAGGCTTCTTGCTGTCTGCTGACATTCAAATGATGGAGGTCTATGGTGACCGAGACAGAAAGGTCCATAAAAGTCCACAAAAAACGTGTCAATATTCCTCCATACTGCTCGTCCAATGTATTCCAAGTGTCCTGAGTGGGTAGCATCCAGAATTTACTCGAAACTAAGTCATTTAGAATGTTTTTAGAGCATAAACAGTAGTGTATAGGATTTCCTGAAAGCGCACACATGCGCGCTCACGACGCTACGGAAGCCGGCAGACCAAGCCAGATGAAAGTGCGCATTCAGCGTCTGCTCTGCCAATAATGCAAGCGTAGAAGAAGAAATGTGCTGTTTACCTGTGCAAAGAAAGAAACAACGAAAGAAAAATGTCTGAGGACTTCAGTGTTGAGGAAGAGCATGAGTTCTTTGCCGAGCTGAATGCGCTGGTTTGCTCTGCCGGCTTCCGTAGCGTCGTGAGCGTGCATGTGCGCGCTTTCAGGAAATCCTATACACTACTGTTTATGCTCTAAAAACATTCTAAATGACTTCGTTTCGAGTAAATTCTGGATGCTACCCACTCAGGACACTTGGAATACATTGGAAGAGCAGTATGGAGGAATATTGACACGTTTTTTGTGGACTTTTATGGACCTTTCTGTCTCGGTCACCATAGACCTCCATTATTTGAATGTCAGCAGACAGCAAGAAGCCTCCCAGATCTCCAGATGCATTTGAGATATCAAAAAAGTACTCCAGAGTGTTGTTCAGCATGGGGGTGAGTAGAAAATGAAGGCTAATCATGTTTTGGGTGTACTATTCCTTTAAGTAGGATTTAAACCAGTCAATTGCTGTTCCTAAAAGGCTAAGCTAGTTTCCATACCCTCTAATTATGGCGTCAGGGTTCTATCAAAAGTCCACATACACAATAAGTACTCCTACAAGCAGCTTTACTTCATACAGATGCTCGTAAACTGCTCCCCACATGCATGATTTACATATTACATGCAAATATAGAGTACCACAGAGTCCCAGTAATCCCCCACACAAGTACTTGTTCCTTTTCTGCTCGTGTGTGCTTTAATATCAACGCCCATTGACCTGTTTTTGTGCGCTCGTGTCAACTTACAACAGGACAAAGTAACCTTTCTGTGAATGGATAGTTTTCAGGAAATCCTGTATCTTGTATTGTTATGCGTTGCCAAGGTAACCGGTGTAGACTGCTTTCCTCTTTTAAGGTAACAAATGAGCTAGCAGAAACTATCAGGCTATTTTACCAGAACATTTTTTGTAGATGTCCTATAACCCTTTTTAACAGACACCATACAGCCAGTCAGAATCCAGTATTTATCCAAACGATGTTATATCTAATGATGACTTTGTTTACCAACTTCCAACTCTTGAAGACAAGCCTTGTAGAGTTGAGCCTCAAGAGGTGGAATTTCCTGAAAAGTATCCAAACCCAGGCTTGTAGCTTTGTCCAGTAATACCTTCGAGGTGACAAAAGTTGAATTAAGCACAGAGAAACAAGTCCACAGGCATAGAGGAGTTAGGCTATGCATCATATGTGCGCAGGGAAGGTTTAAGTTCTTATGTATGTGATATATTTGGGCCCCATTGTATAATTTGCACATATAACATGTTAAACATTAGCCTGACGTAGTCCTACTCAATTCTAGTCAGAATATGAGTCCGATACTGCTCCATAGAGCTGTGATTATGGGGCGTGTTTTCAACGAACCAGGAAAAAAAATGCCTCTGCACTCAATTGGATAGACCTACAACCAATAAGAGCAACGGAGTGCGTGACGTATGTTAAGCGACGCATAGTTGTTGTCAACAAAAATCAAAGCGTGCAGTTGCACGCCTAGAATAAGAAGATGAGCTTTGATCGCGTTTCTCTGTTCCTCTTTTAAAATTAATTTGCTGTCGATATCTTCTAGAACAGACCTAATAGCAGAATCTACTCACCTCAACTCTCCAGCGGCAGCCATTGTTGTTGTCACCCATGCGCGTTTTGGTCATGTGGTTGATTACGTTACTGTTGATCATCTGTCCATCATCGTATAAAGCCCGCCCTGACAATTTGATTGGCTCGCCAGATATTGTGCTAGCATACTCGCGCTACTGTTGAGCAATGCCAGACCGAACTTCCCGACCTCAAACGTTGTGGGTGGGACTAAGTACGGAATGGCACCCAGGCTAGTTAAACATGGCCATGAGGAAGAGTTAATGTGCATCTGTATGAAGTAAAGCTGCTTGCAGGAGTATTTATTGCTTGTGTGGACTTTTGGCAGAATTCTGACGCCATATGTAATAGAATGGAGAGAGAAATAGACTAATGAAGGCTGTGATGAGCATTGAAATCTGACTGGAAGAAGTTGAAGTGGCCGGTCATTGTTAGCAAGGTGCTGAACAGCAAATGACAAAGGTTTAAGTTGCTGTCTTCATTACCTGGAGGGAAATACCTGACGCAAGGGAAATCAAAGCAAGGAGTGTGATATGCAAATCTTAAGAAAGCCTATGGCATTAGTATTTTGCCTATGACACTCCCTTTTTTCATGTGTTACTGGGGTAGCACTTCTTGGAGACTTTATCTTCCCAATAGAAACCTTCGATATTGTTAGAGAAATAGAATCCATTATGTGGGAAATTTGTAAAATACAATGTAGCTATTAGCAAAACTATTCATTTAAAGGGCAATGTAGAGGTATAAAGCCGGTTAAAGCTTTCAGTAACATTAAACCTCAAATATCTGCTTTCTAATGTTTCCTACTCCACTGACTCATTTGCCCAGACATTTTGATACTACAAGCAAATCTTCCTACAAATACTGTATGTTCTTAAAGGGTAGTAGATGTTACTAGAGTCACACAGCAATGTTTGTATTATTATAGAAACTAACTTTTCTCGAACCAAAACTTATTTTTTCTTTAGTTTCATTGTGTGTTGACATTGTGGATAATTAATACTTGGTATCTTTTCAATTGATATCCATTTTGCTTAAGGTTAGGAATGACATTTATTTTGTCTTTAAAGGGAGAGCAATTAATAAGCCTGATGAACCCGGGAGGAAGATGTACAGAGTTGAATAAGTCTGAAGAGGGAAAATAGTATTATAGAAGGAAGATAAAAATTATATATGCTTATATAGATAGATATAAAGATGGACACACAGACTTTTTAACGTCCTATTTTAAATTAGTTTACATTACGTGTGTTAGTGTTTTCATGATTACAAATGAAGGCATTGCTAACTTCATTTGACTACTTTTCTCTAGGGTCCTATGCACAGTTACCGGGAAGCTTTTCAGGAAGATGATGCTGGAAGGCATGGCAACAGTCCCTCTTTTGAAGCCAGTGGTAAGAATTTTATTGTGACTCGTTGAGTTAGGATTTAAAGTTTGATTCTTCATCAGCTCCTGTCTATTTGAGCTTTAAAATAAAAAATATAAAAAATACAATTTGGTGTTTTTGAGACAATGTTTATTTAATTGAGACAGAACAAACAACATCATGCCATTTTGATAGGCCAAATAGCCAGCTGCTATTTTGCATACCTGGTCTCTAATACATGAAAGCATATTTAAAGGATTTAAGAACCAAAAACAGCAAAAATCAATTATAGTAATAAAAGGTTTAGATTGATTATAGTCAATTTTCACAGACTTGATTTTATTAAAGGCAATTATTCAATTTTACAAAACCAATTAAGCAAAAATACTAAACTCTTTTGCTAGCAGGATAATACGATTACATTTAAACAAACATTTCTTACAGAAAAAAATCTAATTTTCATTGAAAAGTTGAATGCCACACAATCAAATTCAAACTAAGTTTAGATTTCTGACAATGAATGACGTTGAAAATTTCCTCTAAACTCCAGAAAAGAATAGAATTTTTTCTTATCAAACAGAATTATTTTCTGATAAACACAAAAACAGGCAGGTTCTAAATGAAAGACAAAAAGAAATAAATATTAACCTCAACAGAAACTCAAAAGTTATTTTTATTTATTTATTTTATTTTATTTTATTTAAAGTTATTTTAACTCATTCTTGAAAAGATGTTAGAGCTAATAGCAGATAAAATGCAGTTTTTCCTCACAATTATGAGCATTCCACAGAGAATCAACTGGGTCAATAATTCCTGATACTGAAGTACCTCCAGAAACATTGGAATTACTTAGATTATCTACAGTGTTACGTCGTCTACGTCCAGAGTTACCTGGATTAGTTCCAGAGTTACCTGGATTACATCCAGAGTTACCAGGAGTACTCCCAGAGTTACCAGGATTGCTTCCAGAGTTACCAGGATTACTTCCAGAGTTACCTGGATTACATCCAGAGTTACCAGGATTCCCTCCAGAGTTACCAGGGATTCCCTCCCGAGTTACCTGGATTACCTCCAGAGTTACCAGGATTACCTCCAGAGTTACCTGGATTACCTCCAGAGTTTCCAGGATTACCTCCAGAGTTACCTGGATTACCTCCAGAGTTACCTGGATTCCCTCCAGAGTTACCTGGATTACCTCCAGAGTTGCCAGGATTACCTCCAGAGTTACCTGGATTCCCTCCAGAGTTACCTGGATTACTTCCAGAGTTACCTGGATTACCTCCAGAGTTATCTGGGTTGCTTCCAGAGTTACCAGGGTTCCCTCCAGAGTTACCAGGGTTACCTCCAGAGTTACCAGGGTTCCCTCCAGAGTTACCAGGATTCCCTCCAGAGTTACCTGGGTTACTTCCAGAGTTACCAGGATTGCCTCCAGAGTTACCTGGGTTACTTCCAGAGTTACCTGGGTTACTTCCAGAGTTACCTGGGTTACTTCCAGAGTTACCAGGATTGCCTCCAGAGTTACCTGGGTTCCTTCCAGAGTTACCTGGGTTACTTCCAGAGTTACCAGGATTGCCTCCAGAGTTACCTGGGTTACTTCCAGAGTTACCTGGGTTACTTCCAGAGTTACCAGGATTGCCTCCAGAGTTACCTGGGTTACTTCCAGAGTTACCTGGGTTACTTCCAGAGTTACCAGGATTGCCTCCAGAGTTACCTGGGTTACTTCCAGAGGTACCAGGATTCCCTCCAGAGTTACCTGGGTTACCCCCCGTGTTACCAGGATTCCCTCCAGAGTTACCTGGGTTACTTCCAGAGTTACCAGGATTGCCTCCAGAGTTACCTGGGTTACTTCCAGAGTTACCAGGATTCCCTCCAGAGTTACCTGGGTTACCCCCAGTGTTACCAGATGTATTTCCAGGGTTACCAGGATTACTTCCAGAGTTACCTGAAGTATCTCCAGAGCCAACTGAATTGCTTATAAAGCTGCTGATATTCTGCTTGGTCACCTGCAAGGCTGCACACTCTGTGTTCACCTTTGGACACTGTGGCTTTTTTCCTGAACCCCACACCTCATAATCCAGAGGCTGGCTGTCCACCCACAGCCATTCGTCCCCAGGAAAAAAATGCAAACCGATCCAGACACGTTCAGTGGTGGGAACTTTGCTCAATTCCTTCTGGATAAGTTGCATCTCTGCTACCGATGTCACACTGGCCAGCATGTTATGGTGTTCTTTGCAATAGCTCCAAGAATCCTCCCAGCTCTTTTTCTTCCTCACCACGACTGGTTTGTAGCAAAAAAAAGGGGCTGTTGTTTGTAGACCCACATAGTAGTCAGTAGTGGGGCTGCTGTTTGCCCCTTGAAGGCTTGTGGATTCACCTGGAGTTGGAAAAAGCATCTTTCCACCCCCCCAAATCTTCAATTGCTCTACTTCTATATCATTGTCCTCCATTCCGATCCAAGATGGGATAAAGTTTCCGTTGACAAGCTCCATCATTTTGACAATGTCCTGTTGGTTGCTGACAGGAGCCAGGCCAGCGTATTCCTGTTGACAGTACTGCTGAGCTGCAGACCAAGTCTTTGGTTCTTTAATATAGACATACTTGCCAGAAGCTTCAAATAGATTTAAAAGAAGAAGCAGGGTGCAGGTGAAGATCCAATGCATTGTTATGAAAATAAACACGAGAGCACTTTGGTGCAGTGCGGCTCCAATGAGAGATTTAAAATGTACCTACTGCTGCTGTGTGGTTTTAAATAGCTATTTGCATTGAGTCGATCTATTCACTGAAGCATTCACGAGTCAGCTGATGGCTTGATGATGCAGCTGAAGTGGAATTTAGGTTAACTTGAAAGTAGTGTTGTGTTTTTTTTTTTTTTTTTTTCTTAGTCTTTAAGACCAAAATTCTTATTACTTTTATATTTAACTTTTATAAAATACTTTGTCATCCGGTATTTTTTTCTCTGGGTTTGTTTCAACACATATGCAGGAATCATTTCTGTCGTCTCACTTTTGACAAGTGTTCGGATTCAATAATAAATGTATTATGCATCTTATGAGTTCAAACAAGGAATGTCCCAATGAAACGTTTTTTTCCCCCGAATGATACCGATATTGAATCTTCGGGGAACTCACTGTTACTGACATTGACCCGATATGATATCATATATACTGTTTATACTTATTTCATTCTGTGGAATGTTAGATGTGTTTGATCAGGTGGTATTCCTACAACAGTGTAATATATTCAATAACAATTGGCATTATAAAAACAGACTCCTTTATTATTACCCAACAGGTAAGTTGTTTAGGCAGGAAGTCAGCTGATGAAAATCAAAGGGGATCCGGTTGGGTTTACAAGTAAAAAGACTACATGTGCATACTTTGGGTCACTTTATTTTACTTTCACCTAACCAAAAGCTTGTTTGTACAGTTAATAAATAGCCATAATAAATAAAAAAAAAATTAAAAATTTTCTTTCTTTTTTTTATTTAAAAATTCAATGTATAATATGGATGCATAAAAACCTTATTTTATTTCAGTGTTAAATTCTGTTTAAAGTAACAGATTATAATTAAAAATGTCTCCTGACCTTTACTGGTTGATAATTTTCTTTATTCGGACCCCGCTGATTTTTAATTGGTTATCCCTGTTCTATAGGATGTTAAGCTCTGTCCAATTTAGACAAAACACATTCAAAACAGAAAGTGCGGATTTAAAGTTTCTGAAAATGCATGAGTCTTTATTCTTTTATAAAGTTTACATTATAGCGCTTAATTTTATACATGTATAGAAAGTTGTAAAATGTTTTATCTGAATTTAACCAGGTTAGTTCATTGGCTATCTAAATTGGTCAAGAAGAGAATTAGCTAAATTAGATGGCTTTTGTGAGGGATTAGCTTTAAACATAATAATAAGAAGGATGAGCTTTAGATACGTTAATAGATTTTTTAAACAAATTTTGTATTTGCTGAAGGAACCGAAGAGATGCATGTGGTCATAGTCTATATATGCAAAGAAAGCAGTTTTTTTGCATCTCTTATTACTTTCTACAGGATGTGTTCCAGCAATGTTCATTTCTATCCAATCTAGACAAAACACATTAAAAACAGAAAGTGCGGATTTTAAGTTTCTTAAAATGCAGGAGTCTTTATTCTTTGATAAAGTTTACATTATAGCACTTAATTTTATGCATCCATAAAAAGTTGTAAAATGTTTTATCTGAATTGAACCAGGTTAGTTCATTGGCAATCTAAATTGGTCAAGAAGTGAATTAGCTAAATTAGATGGCTTTTGTGAGGGATTAGTTTTGAAGATAATAAGAAGAAGGATGAGCTTTAGATGCTTTGGTTAATACATTTTTTAAACAAATTTTATATTTGTTGAAGGAACCGAAGAGATGCATGTGGTCATAGTCTGCATGTGCAAAGAAAGCAGGGTTTTTGCATATCCTATTACCTTCTATAGGATGTGCCTGTCCAATCTAGACAAAACACATTATCATAACAGAAAGTGCTAATTGAAAGGATCTTTGAGTATAAAATTAGGCAATTCCTTTTACCACATTTTATTATAATATTCTGCTTTTGCAGACAGAAGCTCCACAAATCTCTAGTTTTCATAAATGTGTATAGTCTTGTTTTTCATCAATACGTTAATAACTTACTCTGGTTGTTTAAAAGTTTTTTCTAAAAGATTATCACTCCTTTCTGGTAAAATATAAAAAATTTTTAACGCTTTGATTTTGCTAAATTAGTAAATATCAAACTGGAAATACTCCGTCACCAGAGGTACGATACTTGGCATGTATGCAGGGGGAAACAAGTGAGTACCCTAGTGCGGATAAGCCAGTTAGCACCTTCCAGCAAAGTGTGGAAACAATAAAGACAAGTCCAAGATCTAGTGTAAAAAAATAATTTGATTCCAAGATTGAAAAGACTGGAATAGATGGCCGCTCACACTGAGCCTGGTTCTGCTGGAGGTTTCTTACCGTTAAAAGGAAGTTTTCCTCTCCACTGTCGCTACAAGCATGTTTGGTGTAAGGGATTGCCTTTGAGTCAATGATTGGATGTAATCAGCAGGTTTTCCTTAGATAAACAACCTTGAACCAATATGACTGTATGATCTGGTTGAATTGTCTTTATAAAGTGCCTTGAGAAGAATTGAGCTGGAATGAACTTTGGTTTTCACTGAAGCAGAACCTATAGATCAGATTAGCCTGCTAAGTTGAAGGATGTGTGAGTAAACTACCTTATTAATCCTATTATGAGTCGTAGCGATGATCATTTTAGCCTTTACAGTCTAAAGTACAAAGCATATCATTAGTTATGCTCATTTTCCATCCTTATTTTATCATGTTTGGCCAGAGGCAGAATATGTTGTAGAAACAGCAGTGGTTGAAGTATGCTGGTGAAGATTCTCACTCATCCAGGTCACAGTCATTCCAAAAGAGTTAAAAAAAAAAAACTCTAATAAAACTGGACTTTGTTTCCAAGTTTGAAGACATTTCGCTTCCCATCCAGGAAGCTTTTTCAATTCAAATTTTCAGAAATAACTTTGAGTTTGAGGCTTTATAGAGTGGACCAAAAACAACGCTAAGTCAAAACAAGGCTTTGTTTTTCCTCCACTCTATAAAGCCTCGAACTAAATGCTGTTTCTGACATTTTAAATTGAAAAAGCTTCCTGGATGGGAAGCAAAACGTCTTCACACTTTAACTTTCTTGGAATCAGCAATTGAAATCTGTATGTTTTTTTGTCTGTTTTAGCTCGGTCTACTCCAGGTTTGACAAAGACACCTCTATCTGCTCTTGGGCTAAAACCTCATCAACAAGGTGGATCAGGTCAGTGTTCTGATAAGTATGATTTTTTTTTTTTCCTTTTTGAAACTCTTTTCGTGGTTTTAAGCTTCCAAACATGTACAATTCATTAAGGGACATATTTTAGGGAAAGTACACAACTTGTCTCATAATTTACATGGCCACAAAACCCATACGCAACAAGAGCCTCAACAAAAGCCGAGGAGAAGGATGGATGCGTCATTCATTTGCATCTGAAATGGACTGTGGCTGTGTTTTTCAAGTCCAAAACATCAGCTCTCCAGATTGCTCCTGGATACTTTTTAAGAAAAAAGGATTGAAAATTCAGTTGCCTTGGATTTAATTTTGTGGTTCTTATCCCTGAAACTTAAAATATATATGAGAATATATATGTATATATTCTCACATAAAACTAGCACAGTATTTCAGATGAAGCTTATTGTTCCTATTGTCAGGCACAGCGATGGTAGTGTGATGGCCTGGAACTGCTTTACCATTTCAGAACCTGGATGATGTTTTGTTATTGAACCATGACAGAATCCTCCTGCCATTAATTTTGTGACACTTGATGGTAGCTGTTCGTTCCAACGGGTACAAATCTATGTATTTCACATATAGGTCCTCCTCAAAATATTATGATAAAGTTAATAATTTTTTCATAATGCAATGATAAAACTTAAACATTCATATATTTTAGATTCATTGCACACTAACTGAAATATGTCAGGTCTTTTATTGTCTTAATACGGATGATTTTGGCAAACAGCTAATTAAAAACAAAATTCCTATCTCACAGAATTTGCATATTTCATCTGACCACTAAAACAAAAATGTTCTAAATACAAAAAAAGTCAAATAATTATGTACAGTTATGCACTCAATACTTGGTAAGGAATCCTTTTGCAGAAATTACTGCTTCAATGCAGCGTGGCATCGAGGCAATTAGCCTGTGGCACTGCTGAGGTGTTATGGAGGCCCTTGATGCTTCCATAGCGCCCTTTAGCTCATCCACAGTGTTGGGTCTTGCGTTTTCTCTTTACAATATCCCGCAGATTCTCAATGGGTTCAGGTCAGGAGAGTAGGCAGGCCAATTGAAAACAGTGATACCATGGTCAGTAAACCATTTACTAGTGGTTTTGGCACTGTGAGCAGGTGCCAGGTCGTGCTGAAAAATGAAATCCTCATCTCCATAAAGCTTTTCAGCAAATGGAAGCATGAAATGCTCCAAAATCTCTTGATAGCTGCATTGACCCTACACTTGGTAAAACACAGTGGACCAACACCAGCAGCTGACATGGCACCCCAGACCATCACTGACTGTAGGTACTTGACACTGGACTTCTGGCTTTTTGGCATTTCCTTCTCCCCAGTCTTCCTCCAGTCTCTGCCACCTTGATTTCCAAATGACATGCAAAACTGAGCAACAGTCCAGTGCTGCTTCTCTTTAGCCCAGGTCAGGAGCCTCTGCCGCTGTTTCTGTTTCAAAAGTGGCTTGACCTGGGGAATGCGGCACCTGTAGCCCATTTCCTGTCTGTGCATTATGGAAAACAATGCACTTTATCACAATATGTTAATATTTTTTAGAAAGACCTGTATTCCCAGGTTGGGTTTGATTGGCCTTAAAACAGTCATTTGAAAGAAGCATTCTGTTTTCATTCAGGTTATCTCTGTCTGATATGTGCTGGAGGAAATCATCTAAAACATTGAAATACCCCTGCAAAGGCTCTTACATTTCTGCTTTGAGCTCTTCTTTTCTTCTTTTTTTTTCTTCTGCTTTCTGACTTTTACTGCTGCCAGACTCTGATTGTAATAATGCAGAGCAAGGTAGGAATATCCTGTTACATAATAACTTTAATGTCTTCAGAGCTTTTTGTGGTATTTAGCTACAAGTGAATGTTTCCTTTTTTTTAACTGATCTGCTCCTGATTTTTCTGTTTTTCATTCTGTTCGATTATGTTTTGAATGTTTCTCAGATAATCGCAGCATAGGGGACTCTAGGCCTCAACCGTTCAGCGGTCCTCTGACCTCCAGCAGTCCTGTCCACACTATTGATGGGTGAGTGTTTACTCTCCCCTTATCTTTTCCACAGTGCATCATTTAATAAGCATAAGTTAGGTTTGTGTTCTCTGACTAAATTCTATAGTGTTTTGAGAGATTTAGCTTATTCTTCTGCCTCATTTCTGCACTCCTAAAATATTTCAACAAAATTTTGAGATTCATGCAATTTTATTACATAGTAAATACCATGTTACCTTTTTTTTTGCTAACTTTAACATAATTTATTAAATAATCCTAAAAAGATGACTACTACATTGTATAACAAAGCAAGTGTATTTAAAATACATAATCATCTGTTTTTTTATTTAGTAGTAATGACAAATTGTATTGTGCCCTTTAAAATACATAAATACAAATACTTAAATTAACTTTAAACAGTATAGGAGGCATTTACATGACATTTTTAGACTATTATTGAAAAGTTGCCCAGATATGTAGGAAGCACTCTGATACCATCTATAGGCCAGCGTGGTGTTTGCAGGGCTTGATATGAACCTTTGTGCTTCCTTGCCACTATGGCTGGTGGTTTTACACTTGATAACAGCTCACCATTTTCAAAAGCCATTAACTTTGTTTTTGTGAAATGATGTTAAATCTTATTAAAACTGACTACGCTGTGCTAAAGTGTGTTTGAACTAGATGTAAAGCCTGCAAATGCAGGTGTCCTGAATTTGTAACTGTCAATTGAAATATTAACATTTGTATTTTTTCTTATCAACACATATAAATGTGTTGAGTTGGATGTTTCATCTGTGAGAATAAAAATTTAGAAGTTACAAATACAAGTTACAAAGATACAACATACAAGTTCAAATCAAAAATAATTTAGTAGGAATCTACCGTCTCGGATGAAGAGGTTCTATTCCTTACCAGTTGGTAGCGGTAGTGTTCCTGAAGTTTGTTCAGCAAATGCAAAATGTAAGAAGAAGAAAATTATGAAAGCAGAACGGATATGAACAGATCAAACATTTCAAAAAACATATAGGGTGTGTCCTATTTCAAAGGCTGTGTCCTCCAAAGACACGGTCTACAAGGACTGGGTCCTTCAGACAGGAGGCCGTCTTGTTTTGTTTTTATGATCGTAATTGCGGAAAACAACTCGTGAAGTTTGACCCGCTAGAAAAGCGAGGTGCGCAAGAACGCTGGGACCCTTTTTCCACCTGGATCTCCGCCCTTTTTGGCCCTCATGTCCCTCTGTCGTCGGACTAAACTCGTCCCCACTTCCTCACCGCCTCGGCCGTATCTAGACCCACAGTGTGTAGCTCAGACCACGCTTCAATATTGAGCATAATTTAAAAATGTCTGTGTCAAGCTTACTGCAACACACTGCTGTAAGGGTATAACCAGGAAGCGAGGTAGGAGGGCAAAATAGGTTTAGCGCCACCTCAGCACGGGAGGAGAATTACGCCCAGGAGCAAATAGATAAAAATAGACCGGAGGAAAAAAAACATGAATCAATTCTCTTGCGGACGTGTCGATGCATCGATCCAACAGCCGACGATCCGATGCATCGATACAAAACGATTATTATTTACACCCCTACCTGGTAGGGAGTGTAACAACTTTATTTGGGTTTAGACACTAGCGCATGTTTTTTACTCTTATTCCATATTTTTGTGAATGTATATATAAAGTTAGATTTTTTAGAAAAACAATACTTTTTTTTCATGTTCAGAAGGAGGACTGGTTCTTCAGATGGTGGCCCCCACGGACCCCCTTCCCCATACACCCACAGACCTGCCTCTCCTGAGGGATCCCAGGTCAACATCATGGGTGTGCACACCGTCCCCGGCAGCCCAAACACCCTCCACCGCACAGTGGCCACCAACACGCCACCAAGCCCTGCCCTTCAAAGACGATTAGGTCAAGCCAGCCCCTCCCTGGCCAGACACCAGTCCCCTTCCGGGGCCCCTTCTAGTCCTCTGATAGGCCGAAACCCTAAAAGTGCAACAGAAGGCGTTCCCCCAAGTCCGCTAATGGGACGGCGCGCAGTGTCGAGCGGCCGCAGCACACCTGACGAGCTGAGGGCAGCGTCTCGCCAGGGGAGCGCCCAGCCGCCTCCCACCCCTGCCTTCCCTGTCTCCCCGCAGCTCCCCGAGAAGAGACACATGTCTAGTGGAGACGTGGAGAGGACAGACAACAGGAACCTGATACCAGCCAGCGGTGGCAGTACGCCAAACCTTTCTGGCACCCATACTCTCCCAGATGTCTCCAAGTCTATCTATGGTGAGACACGCAGGACTGTGTTGGCTTACAGTTAGATTATCTAAACACTAATGGTCCTCACTGTCATTTTCATTTAAACAGATGGCAATCCAGACATAAGGATGAATGTTAAGTTTGTCCAGGACACCTCTAGGTTTTGGTACAAACCAGATATCTCCAGAGAACAAGGTGAGAACTTTACTTACAGATAAAACCCAAAAATATAAAAAATTTTCCCCCTGCTCAGAAGTAGATGGAAGAAAAGCTATTACTTGTACTGATACATATGAACATTGGTGGGATATGTTAAAGGCATGCCAATTTTTCCATTATTTTTGGAAGCAAAGAACAGGTTTTGTAAATGAAAATCTGAAAAACTGAACACATCCTATAATTTCAAATTTGGAAAAAAAAACAATCCGGAAATTACTCTTTAAAAAACCTTTAATTAAATAAAAGTTTTTAGAGAAAATAGTTTTTTTTTTAAGATTTTTTTATCAAATTATTTTCTTTTCAAATTTAGATTACAACCCTTTAAGTAAACATCACACTGGGTTAGCATTAATGATTTCACTAGTGTGACAAAACTAGGAAAGTAAACAATGAACAACAAGAAGTAAGGAATCCAGGGCGTAGAAAGTTTGCTATATTGTTTCGCTCTTTGATTTTTCTGAATCCCTGTCAGCAGTTCCGAGCCATGTTTATCAAATGTAAAAGAGTTGTTTTGGCTTGTTAGGTCAGATGCGACTGGCACGGTGTGTTCACCTCCGTACATTGCACTCGATGGTATCACGTAAATAGGTGGGTCAGATGTACCCATAGCATGATGAGACACGTGTCAATGGGCAGTTCCAATTCCACTAAAAGTTTTTTGTTCCCAGGTTTAAACATGACCCCCACTTTGGGAGTCCATGGCATAGACAATTAGGTACAGAGCTGAAAAGGTGTGTAAGAGCAAGGCGGTCTAAAGGCATCACCCAGTATTCCCTTAAGAAATAAGGGTTTCCAGCTGAGAATTGCGAGATTGTTTGTAAAAGATAATAGTCCATGTGATGTCAGCTAAATCTAGAATATCTCAACAGATTTTAAATATCTTCAGACTGTTTATTAAGTAATTTCCTTGGTATTCTTATTTTCTACCTTGCAGCCATCAGTCTGTTAAAAGACAGGGAGCCAGGGGCATTCATCATCCGGGACAGTCACTCGTTCCGTGGAGCCTATGGTCTGGCTATGAAAGTGGCTTGCCCCCCACCAACAGTCCAGCAAAATAAGAAAGGTAAACTCTGTAAAATATGCAGTACTTTTATGCCATTTATTGCCTATTTTATATAAATAATTTCATGTTTAATGTGTTTCTTTGGTAGCTGGCGACTTGACCAATGAGCTGGTGAGGCACTTCTTGATTGAGACGAGCCCCAAAGGTGTCCGTCTGAAAGGTTGCCCCAACGAACCCTATTTTGGTGGGTTTCTAACTTATTTTCCTGCCTGAGGTATGACTTCTTGAATCCACTGGTCCAGTTTGACACAAAGCTTTGCTTTGATTACAGGATGCCTCTCCGCTCTGGTATACCAACATGCAATGACTCCTCTGGCTTTGCCTTGCAAACTGATGATCCCCACCAAAGGTCAGCTAAACCACAACTCTCCAATGTTTTTCACATGTTTTATGATGCTAAGAAAAAATTTTTATGTTTGTACTGGCTTAATTCTTTGGTTTACCTTGTGTTATTTCTATTACACCCCCTTCCCTAAAGACCCAAATGAAGAGGCACTAGAACTCGCTACACCTACTGATCCGGTGGTTGAGCTTCTCAAACAAAGCGCTGGTAAGAATTTAAATACTTTAGGGGTAGAGATTTAATTCCTATTATCCTTATGAGGCAATTTCTTAAAATGCTAGGAAAAACAAAGGCAACATTCAATGGGTAAAGTCTCTGCAAACTGTTGTTTCTTCGCTTTCTTTGGCAAAGATGCCAATCCTTTTAGAGAAAGTGGTTAAGACGTAAACTTTTTCTTTTCTAGAGAGATGGTAAATAAAATATTTTCTCATTTTCCTAAACTTTGTTAACCTTCTTTTACAGTTCAGAAGGTTCCAGAGGAAGCTTATGGTAAATACTGTTTTGTGCTTATGAAAATGCTTATATGGAGTTGTTTTAGGCCTAAAGATATACATTATTGCACGGGCAATACATGCATGCAAGTGATGGTCAATAGTTATCTAAGTGCAAAGCCTCCCAACCTTCTCCCTAGTGCCTAAATAGAAAACAACTGGACTTGATTCATGAATCCCTTTTTTTAACCAAAAGGCTTTCCTAAGTCTTAATTTTAGTTACCGAATTCCCAACTCATACCACAGGTATCTGCAGACATTTACTTACAGTTGAAATTACACTGCCTGGGCAAAAAAAAAAATTGTCACCAAAAAAAAAGGTATTTCACTCTAATACTTTGTTGGACCGCCTTTAGGTTTGAATACGCCACGCATTCGCTGTGGCATTGTTTCGATAAGCTTCTGGAATGTCAAAAGATTTATTTCCATCAAGTGTTGCATTAATATTTCACCAAGATCTTGCATTGATGATGGTAGAGTCTAACCACTGCCCAAAGCCCTCTCTAGCACATCCCAAAGATTTTCATTGGGGTTGAGGTCTGGACTCTGTGGTGGCCAATCCATGTGTGAAAATGATGTGTCATGCTCCCTGAACCAGTCTTTTACAATTTGAGCCTGATGAATCCTGGCATTGTCATCTTGGAAAATGCCTGTGCCATCAGGGAAGAAAAAGTCCATTGATGGAATAACCTGGTCATTCAGTATATTCAGGTCGTCAGCTGACCTCATTCTTTGAGCACATACTGTTGCTGAACCTAGACCTGACCAACTGAAGCAACCCCAGATCATAGCACCGCCCCCACAGGGTTGTACAGTAGGTACTAGGCATGGTGGGTGCACTACTTCACCTGCCTCTCTTCTTATCCTGATTGGCCCAGCACTCTGTAACAGGGTAAATCTGGACTCATCAGACCACATGACCTTCTTCCATTGCTCCACAGTCCAATCTTTATGCTCCCTAGCAAATTTAAGCCTTTTTTTCAGGTTAGCCTCACTGATTAGTGGTATTCTTACGGCTACACATCTGTTAAGTCCCAATCCCTTGAGTTCCCTTCGAATTGTGCGTGTGGAAATGCTCTTAATTTCAGTATTAAACATAGCCCTGAGTTCTACTTTTGTTTTTCTTCGATTTGATCTCACCACACGTTTAAGTGATCGCCGGTCACGATCATTCAGGATTTTTTTCCGGCCACATTTCTTCCTTGAAGATGATGGGTCCCCACTATCCTTCCAGTTTTTAACAATGCGTTGGACAGTTCTTAACCCAATTTTAGTAGTTTCTGCAATCTCTTTAGATGTTTGTTCTGCTTGATGCATGCCAATGTTTTGACCCTTTTCAAACAGACTAACATCTTTTCCACGACCACGGGATGTGTCTTTCGACATGGTTGTTTAGGAAATGAAAAGCAAGTCATTGCACCAGTTGGGGTTAAATAACTTGTTGTCAGCTGAAAGATAATCGCCAATGCAGTAATTATCCAATAGGAGGCTCGTACCTATTTGCTAAGTTGAATTTAGGTGGCAACTTTTCTTTTGGCCATGTTGAAAGGAAGAAATAAAAAAAGATAAAGCTTTGACCAATTCTATTTTAGGAATTCTGCACATCATTGCAGATTAATGACACCCATCAATTTGCGATGTTAGCCTTCTGGGAAAGAAGTGTCACAAAATGTAACAAATGGTTAAGGTTCTCTAAAATAAAACCCAAAATATAGGAGAATGCTTACATTACCATGTCTCACACAGACAAGACATGAAGAACTGATGTGTTTTTATTAAACTTCTATAGGGTTGGCTATGAATATACATCTTTTACACAAAAGATTGAGGGCTATTCTATGGAAAGGAATGTTAGGAGGTCCCTATGCTAAAATAATAGGGATGGAACAGTTTATGAAAACCGTCCGGTTCGACTGTCTCAGTTCGATTCGTGTGTGTTGCGTTCGGTTCATGCGCTGCTCCTTTTTCTTATAGGCGAAGCGTTTACACTCCAGAGCAGAAGGTGGCGGTACTGCGACCAAAGCCAACCACCAGTAGTAAACAAGAAGAAGAAGCGAAGCAGCTTAGCCGGGTGTAGCAGAAAAAAATCAGTTGTTGTAGAGAATTGTTTGGGTATGGCGAGTGGGAAAGAACAGGAGTTGGAAGACGCGCCAGCAGCACTTTATAGGTCTGCTGTATGGGACCGTTTTGCATTTAGAGTGACCTACGATGACGGCGGAAAGAAAGTTGTGGATAAGAGTGCAACAGTGTGCAAGCATTGTGCAACACGTTTTGTTTATGCTAACAGCAACACGACCAACATGTCAGGCTAACAATCAACATATACAAAACCGAACCGAAAACCGTGAACCGAACCGGAGATTTTGTGAACCGTTCCACCCCTATAAAATAACTAATGCAATTTCAGACCGTGTGCTGCAGAAGCAGCAAAGGCAGTAGATTAACATGCAAAGTCGACACGCATCAAGGTGAATCAAAAGGTCCTGCAGCGTGTTTAGAGCAGAAGGAGTAGCACATCTTGACACAACAAAGCAGGTGAAGCAGCGCCTCATGAGCTTCTAAGCATCTATGGCACGAGACGCGCGGCACAAGCAGCAGCGCCACATAGAACAATCATAGAAGCTTATCTCTGGGGTTTCAGGGAGACAATCACAGCCATGCTGATGCAGAGCACTATGGTCATTCCAGTTTATTAACGCCTAAATTAACTTAAAATGTTGAAACCTGCCAGCAAAATATGTTCACTTCATTATCCTTGTGCCTGCAGTCTGGATTACTTATATAAAAAGCGCCTTCCAGCCGCTGTAAACAGTAGCGGAAAACCCCCAAGAGGCGACCGGGCCAGAGGCTGCCGTTAAAGGCGATTTCCATTGACAGCACACCGCTGGTGTACGAGGGTTTGGGGTAGAGGTCCAACAGCAAAATACTGTTTGAAGGCAGGTTCGTAATCTGGATCTCACTTAAAAACATGACTACTTATAACAGCAAATATAGCAAAGCCACTTTCTGCCATTGAACACAGGAGCAGCAGAAGCATCAGACACATCTTGACACACTTTACTTTTTTTCTGTTTGCTGCTTCCAGCACTTACAGTCTGAACATAGCATAACAATAGGAAGCATCCTGCTTCCTCTTCCTACCTCCTTCGTCACTGCCATTCATACATGGACAGCACTTATCATGGTGACTGCCAATGCACTTCTGCTTTGGCCTAAGATATAATCAGAAGGACACCTTGTCTTAAAAATATACAGCCGCTTTCATATTGGGCAAAATGTAACTCCTACCTCCTGTGTCTTCACCTTTTGCGGGGTCAACGGTAAACGTGTCCTGGGTATGAAAGAAATTCAATGACCTTAAGTGCCCTTACAGATTTGAATGTTTTGCATATAGCTTACATTTTGGATACTTTGGTTTGACCACTTGAAGCTAGGTTTGAGATTTGTTGGTTGTGTAGGGCATTAGGTCCACATAAAGAGACTGCATTTGAGAGCAGGGTAGAACATTTTTAAGACGTCCCCTGTGGTGGCTAAACATGGACAGCCCAAACTACGATTGCCATTTTTTTTTTCATTTATTAACATAGACCTTGCTTTACCTAATAACTTTCCAAGAAAAACAATTTGTTTGAGTTGCATTTGTTTGGGGGTTTTTTCTCCTACACTCACCGCATTATCGGTACGATTATTTTGCCCTTTTCGGGCCAATCCTCAGGTGTGCAAGAATTTTTCAGATCAGGTCGAGTTTCTGCCTTATCGAGCGTCCTGCATCATGTAGTATGCAGGGGGTAATAGAGGGCGATTAGCTTCTCACGACCACTTCCCAATCAGGAATTGAAAGGTCAGGAGAAAATCAAACATATTTCAAAGTCAGTCGGCCCTCGTGAGCGTCTGTGGGCAAATCCTGCTGTTGCACCAGAGCTACAGTATGAGTGTCTACAAGCCGATTAACCAGAACCTCGTGGAAACATCCTTCTACGAAGTTTTGGTAGTTTTTGTCATACAGTGTGAGCAGTTAGAGTGCATTAGAGTGTTGGGCTGAACATTGTAAGAACATGTTTCGTGAGCTGGGATCTCTTAAACGCTGTGGTTTCATCATAAAGTTTGAGCTGCAGCTGAGTACAACGATTAAAAACTATCGTACAGTGTATACCCGGCTTAAGGCAGTGTTAAATCTCTACAAGTGTTTAATTTTTACATGTGTCATCTAAGTTAGGTTCCCTGAAAAAAATTTGGACGGTTCACCATGACAGGATTCTTGATTCTAGATTTGTTGTATAGTTTGGCTAGCCTCGTGAGACCATCCTGATCTCGCGAGCTTTCAAGGTTTCACTCGCACATCAGTCTGGAGACTCTCCGTTAAAGAAAATTTGGAGCAGTTCACCAAACAAACGTCCAATTAGCGTTGGCTTTGAGGCGGGTTGAGGTGTGATGCAACGAGAAGCGCGACAGTTCAGTCTAAAGAACATGGCGGCTTCAGCCGATGAAACTAGCGTTAGCGTGGCTATCGAGCAAGTTTTATCGGAATTACAGAGTATTTCTTCACTGAAAGAAGAGCAAAACACTGCTCTGGAGGCAAAACACTGTTCTTGCTTTTCTCCCGACTGGTTTCAGCAAGAGTTTGATCTATCAATTGGCTCCTCTTCGTCGTCGCTCTGTTAGTATGTCATATGCTTCGTTCATCTGATTGGTTTATTTGGCCCGTCTATCACCAACATAGGCCAATCAGCTAACCAGTATTTTCGCCCCTTCCCAAAATTACTTCAACGGAAGGTTTCCAGATGGATATGCGGAGCAAATCCATCTGGCGGAGTCAAGTTAGAGTTTGGCTTTGTGAAACCAAACTTGGATGTTGACATTCTGAAAGGGATATTTTCTCAACCAACAGTGAAGATGCATGGTTGGATGATTGACTCAGTAACTAATGTGAGTGAACAGCTTTATCAGTGTGATCAGTCTGCCTACAACTTGGAAGCCAGGTAGATCTAACCAAGAAACCCTCAGAATCAGAGGTAAAGGATCTTAAAAAAAAACAAGAAGTCAATTTGAATTCTATTAAATCACATTGCTGCCATGTTCTGGTTGACTGAGAAACCCTTATAAAGTGCTTACATTTGTCTGCGGAATATGCATGAATGTTTCTCACAGTCCATTATTGTCCAAACGCTGCTGACACTGTTCCGCCCTCACCTTGCACTTACCTGCTTCCATGTTGTTCATTTACAGCTTGCAATGTTCTGTTCATCAACTCTGTGGATATGGAGTCACTCACGGGGCCTCAGGCTATTGCCAAGGCCATAAGTCAGACCCTCACAACCAACCCCCTCCCTGACGCCACCACTGTCCACTTCAAGGTGTCCATGCAGGGTATTACACTTACCGACAGCCAAAGGAAGTAAGGAAAGCAAGAATAAAATAAGGTGGTATCTAAAAGGAAAATATGTTTTTGGTAATTGGTCATTTATCTCTTTTTCTGCAGAATTTTCTTCCGGCGACATTATCCCCTTAACACAGTGACCTTCTGTGATTTGGACCCCCAGGATAGAAAGTAAGGGTTATTTTTCCACAAAGAATAGCAATATATGCTGATGATCACCTCATTATTAAGAAATACTTCTGTTTTTCTTCCATAGATGGGTAAAAGAAGGAGGTGGATCAGTAAAGTAAGTTCACTTTTAGAGCTTTGTTGAGATGGCTTTAATATACACTGCATGCTGACATTTTTCCCATCTTCTAGGCTTTTTGGGTTTGTTGCAAGGAAACAAGGAAGCACAACGGACAATGTTAGCCATCTGTTTGCTGAGTTGGAACCAGATCAGCCTGCCTCCGCCATCGTCAGCTTTGTCTCCAAGATGATGAAGCGGTGAAACCCTGAAACTTCATACGGCAGTGGCCGAGTTGCAATCGTCCATCATCGTTGGTGTCTTTCTTTCAATGACTCAACGTTGTCCTTGTTTTTTTTTTTCTGTTTATCACCTTCTCTCTTTTTTTCCCTCTCCACCTCGCTGCTTGGTCTTTCTTGAGAGTCATCTCTCTAACACCAGGGCTTTGGGCGTTGACGCAGAGTGGAGCTAGGGGATGTGTTTTTGTGGAAATGTGCACGTGACAGAAGCGACTGTTGGGGAGTTGATTCAGGGGAACGTAAGAAATTGTGGAATTTTTTTTTTCTTTTTATCAGTTTTGATTGATTTACCAAAGGTATTGCAATACAAGTGCAAGAATGATGTAGCTAGTAAGCCATTAACATTTTCTCTTTTGAAAAGATGAAGTGAAACAAAAAAAACCTAAACGGAAAAACAAAAAGATGCGAGAAACTCTCTCTTGAACTTTAATTCTTCAGGAAAAAAACAAAGGAAAACAAAAGAAATTCTGAAGATGTTATGCATGTTAGCTTGATCCTTAAGCTTGGTTCTTCTACTTTCCACAGAAGTAATTGTGAACTACTTAGAGGTCATTTTAAGGGTCTGCTGTGTGTTGGAAAGGGCTCTGCAGTGAAACAACAACTGATCTAAACTGTGCATAGCAGACCCCATCTACAAAAAAAAAAAAAGGTACGTTAGTGCAAACAATGCTTGCATTCTTTCAGCATCCAATCCTTTAAAAAAAAATGAATTGCTGGATAAACTCCAGCCTGAAATCATCATCCGCCTGAAGATGTGAAAGCAGTCTGTCCACCAGATAGCGCCACATATTCAGACTTTTTCCTCCATCAGTACTTGCTTGCAGTAACTGATCTGTTGATAAGACGCTTCCACAGAAAACACTGGAAACCACCAGGAACCGGCCCAGTGACCTGGACCTATGCACTGTTCTTTATGCATGTTATTGTCCCAAAATGCACCCTCCATCAAAGCTACGTTTACGTCCACTGAGAACATTGCTTCCCATGTGTGAACAATAAAAAAAAATTGAAGAATATCCATGTTTAGACAAGAAAACTGAGTGAAACTTGTCAAAAACTGCATGAAATAGAATTTTTTTAGTCTTTTCAAAGTTCTGAAAAATCGATGGATTATTAATGAATTCTGGCAGGTTTACATATTTGTTTTTCTGATTTTGACCTATTCTGTTCTATTTGTGTCAAAACTCATTTTCAGTCCTCATTAAAAGGAAAGTTTAGATTTATTTTAATTTTTTTTCTGTTACAGTGCTCTAAGTTTTACTTCGGCAACAACAAGACAAAATAGATGGAAAACTCCATTGTCTGCATGTTCAACTATTGATACAGAGCTCACAATATGCATATTTTTACTCTGCTTTACCCAAATTAGTTAAGACTGTTTTTTTTATACTTTTCTTTCATTTTTTTTTCACAGAGCTAAATTTAAAGGAGCTTATTGATGTTCCAGAGTTTTTGCATCTTGTGATCAGTTGAAATCAGTAGTTTTGTTCATGTGGGAGGAGATGGAAAGCATCTGCGGCTCCAACTTTGCAGGGCTCTTTATTTTAAGAGGCTTAATGTCTTCTAAGATAAGAAATGTATAATTAGTGAAGTCGCATCACTTGTAAATCAGTTTCTCATTGATTGACCAATGAAAACTACAGAAACAACTGCGGGAAATCTAAGAAAAGCAAATTTTTTAATTGGAGCGGCAAGTATGGGAAAGAAAAAAATTGTAACTATTAAATTTGTTCATTGCTTCTTTCTTATCTTGGTACAATTTAAAATTGATGCAAACATTTTTGGTTTAAGGTTAAAATAGATGAAAAACAATACATAATATGCTCTTAGATTTTCCACTTACACTTATGTTTTATTTTTGTTTTTTTCTTTTACAGCTCCAAATTACTTTCCCATGAGGACTGGAGAGTTTGACTTTTAGTTTTTCAACTAATTAAATTAATTTAATTAACATTTAGGGCAAAAATGGGCTAAAACTGGTCCTCTTAAATCAAAGCCCTTTCTTTCTACAGTCAGATAGTTAAGGTTTTGTTTCGCCGTTGATGATGGTGTCATTTTGAATATTTGGATACTAGTCAGCAAAAGGAATTGTGGACTTCAGTATTATGTTTTTTTTTTTTTTTTTTCAGAAAATCTAAAGCGTATCCTTAAAATTAATCCAAACACATCCTTAAGTACAGAAGCGTATTGCATCACCTAAAAAAAAAAAAATTGGTCTGATTTTCCAAATTAACAAGATAATTTTTATTTGAAAAAAATAAATGAAAAAAGCTTTTTTTTTTTTTTTTTTATTAGCAAGATAGCTGGAAAGATGGGAGAAAGTGGAAAACAAACGCAGGTGTCTTCGCAAAGATTACAAACTAATGCCGATTGCATCAAGATCACTAAGAGACAAGAACATTTCCAGTTGTTTCCATTCTAAAGAAAATAAGAATTCATTAAGGTTAGACTGAAAGCATAGTGAAGCTTATCTGATGGAAAGGCATCTCTTGCTTAGAAATCTGCAATGCAAGCAGTAACAGACATCCTGTATGAAATTACAGTAGCATTACTTAATACAGAAAAATAGAACATTTTCATAAATTTTTGTAAAAATGATCTGGTTAATTTAGGAAAACGAGAAAAAGAGTAATTTCTTTTTTCTCCAGGTTAATGCAGTGCGCTTCCATAATTCAGTATTCTTAAAAAAAGAATTGTCCATTTTGACAGAGAAACATTGTTGATGAAGATTAAGAGTTGTTTTTATTTTATTTTTTGTTGAATTCACTTTTTTTTTACTTATAAAGATGTTTTTTTGTTTTCACCTGTTTTTATATCATACTTGGAAACAGTACACGACCATTAAGAGGGTTATAAAATAACGGTATGATGCCTGCTTGTCGAACACATTTTCACTTCGCTGACACTTTGTCATCCGTTTGAATCAAATTTACTTTTCATAAAAAAAATTTAAAAGTCAATTTTAGAAGTTGAACTTAGTTTTTTCGTACTGTTGTCAGGTTTCACAGTTAGCTACTTTTTAGAATAATGGAGGAAAAAAAAAACTCACACTGTGCGCAATACCTGCTTGCTGAACACACGCATTCACAATAAGCTAAGGAAAAAAATTGATACCGGTATAAATGTACATAGTTATACTTCTTTGAAAGATGACATAGCGAAAAAGTATTTATTTTTTATTGCTTCGTTTCCTCATGTTATATACATATATTGTACAGTCTCGATAAAGATAAAATGGGTTGAGAAAAAAAATACTTATTTTGGCTAATGATTTCAAAGTCCTCGGATTTTGAAATGTGTTTTGAATATATGGTGTACATTACATTGTATATGTATGTTTCTTTTTCGGTTCAGTGTTTTTTTTTATGTTCTGTTTTCTTCTCGAAAAAAGCCTGCGGAGTGAATTTTGTTCCATTTTTATTGTAAGCAAAGAAAACAAAATTTTAAGAAAAAAAAAAACACATTTTGTAACTTTTTATTTTACCAATATGCTATCCAGAATGAAGAAAATGGTTAGCAGTTGCAAAACTTTTTTTTTTTTCATAAAAAAAAAATGAAAATTACATTTATTTTTATATTTTATTCTTTTTTTTATATGTTTTAGAAATAGATCTGGTTTTATATTTCCAGATCTATTTCATTTAGTTTTTTCAATTTTTTTTTTTTTTTTTTTTTACAGATTTTACATTTTTTAATTATTCTTTCCAAATTATTTGTTTTTTTTCCCCTGTTTTATGAATTGCATATTTTTCAAATTGTATTTTACAGATTGCATTACTTAATTGCATCAACTGCTTGACAAGGGATGGGTTTTCCTCTGGAGTGAGGAGTGAAGATGCATTTCTATTGGTCTGCATCAACATTAGCAACCACTTTTTTATTGGTCAATAGGCACCTTAGTATTGAGTTTGTATAGGCCTTGAAGTGAAGACAATGTGGTGTGAATGCTATTTGAAAAGAATGTAATTTAGAAAAAAATAATCTGAAAAACTGAAGTTTTACAAAATTTTAAAATTTGAAATCTGTTAAACAAAAATGAAACAATTAACATGTTTAAAAATATAAAAAGTTTAGATCACACACCTGAAAAAACAGAAAGACAAAAAAATGTTGGACAAAATAACATTCGAAAAAAAACATTTGTTTAAAAAACACAACATGAAAAATAATCTTAGAACCCTTTTTTAATTAAAACATTTTTAAGTTTTATTTCTGGATTGTATTTTTTGTCTTGATTACATTTACAAAATGTGTTGGGGTTTTATTTTTTTCAGTTTTCTTTCACCATTTTCATTTTTCTTTGCAAAGATAATGGAAGAAAATTCACTCCATACAGGCCAGGCATAAATGAGTTGAAGTTGCATGGACAAAAACTGATGAGTGTGGGGTGTTCTTTTGCCAGTAAATCCTGCACAGTAAAGCAGATGCATTGTAGAATTTCATTTTTTATTATTACTATTATTTTTAAAGGAAGTTCAGAAGCCAAACCTTAATGCAATATGCACTCATGCTGGTTACATTTATTATTTTGCCAAAGATTCTCTCATGTTACGTCTTTTTCATGTTGCTTTTTATATTGAACTGCTTTTTTTTTTCTTTTTCCACTTTCTTAAATTATATTCAGCAGAGTTTTTTGGCAGAAGTAGGGATTTTAAGAGACCACACACATGTGAGTGTTATGGGATGTAACATTTGTCACTCAGCTGCACTTTTTAAAATTTGTTTGTTCTGATGTCTCAGCGCTCCAAAAATGTGTCCACCTCCATTGCCTGTTGAGGAAAAAACAAGCCTGCTGTGCATTGGAGGAGCATAAACAAAGCACTTATGTCCACAACAGAGAAGAGTGACATCAGTTTCGTAGGGGTGTCAGTGCTGGAGGTGATTAATGTTAGACGTGTCTCACGGTGATGCTAACAGCTCCACAGCTGCAGCTTTGCCACCCTGCCAAAAGTCTCTTTTGAGAGTCAGTGGTTTATTTATTCTTATTTATTATTTGATTTCCTCGTTTGTTTTCACCTTTGTGTCACTTTCTGTTTGCAGTATTAGCAATTTTAGGAATGTATGGTGGCACTTTTATGAAAGTGAGGAGGTACATTAGGCTTGATTTCAGAACTAACAAGCTTTTTGTCAAATGTAGCCATCTGGAAAATAAATAAATGCCATAATTTAATGTTTCCCAAATTATTATTTATAAGGAATTGCATTGAATCTGTTGGCTTTAAGTCAAGAGTTATCATATGTAATAAAATAAAAGATTTGTTGACCTCTTTTATGGAAGGCATTTGAATGTTGTATAAATGTGCTGCAGAGGATGTACATAAAAGATGTCATATTTTGTTTCTCTCTTATTATTTACATCATTACTGTCATGGCTAACCTGTTCCTAAGGAGAAAAAAGACATTAAAGCAATACAGATCAGTTACATTGAAGAAATCTGTTTTTTTTTTTGTTTTTTTTTTTTTTTTTTTATCATTTCTGCTGAACTAATACAGAAGCTCTTCAGTTTGGAAAAAGGTAGGTTGAATCAATAAAACAAAAGAAAAAAAAATAACAAGATCAAGACAAAAACTCAAAAAGCCCCCGCCCAGAAGTGAAGCGATTTGCCAAACACAATTTTGAAAGAATGCAATTCGGAAAACTAAATCTGAAAAAGAGAGAATAAAAAAATCAGATCTGACTCAATGAATTAAATTTGAAAAAATAAAATAAAAAATAAAATTTAATCTGAAAAATATAATAAATATTAAAAAAAAATCGAAGAAAACTGTTTTATAAATTGTTGCAATAATAATGGAACAAATTTCATTCCATATTTTCGCGAAATATGTAGACATGCATCTGCTTGGAAACTTTAGGGTTTTTACCTGTCAGACTTTTAATAATAAAGTAAGGAAAGATGTGTGCTGTAAAAGTTGGTCATTACAATGTACAGTGCTTACATTGATGTTTTTGTTAATACTGAAACTCAGTATTAGCATGAGCTCTTCTTGTGTCATTTTTAAAATTTCCTTTACATGTAAAAGAAAGATCATCCTTAGAAGAAGCACTAATGTTAGCTTATAAAATTAGCTGTGCAGCTGAAAGGAAATAGAGCTGATGTACTGTTCAATCATCAGGTGATCAACCCTGTTTAATCCAAGGAGGGACATTTCTCCTATAATATTCACAAAGAAGAAACAACTTTAAGCATTAACTGAATTTATTCCAGTCATGATTAACAAAATCAATTATATAAGCTCAAATTACAGAGATGGTGTTTTACCTTATTTCTTAGGTCTGTTTTCTTTTTGACCTTTGGCTGTTGGACAGCAGAATGGCCCATTCCTACTAGATGTTTCCAAAATGTCACAACCAGCAACGAGGTGTATGGAGTCAATTTTTTGGCAAAACGTTGCATACAAAAAAACATGTGGCGGACACACATAAAGCATGTTTCACACAAACAATTCTTAAAACTCACAAATAAACATGTTGCACTCAAATGTTATTATTGACAAAAAAAACTTGTGTTACAAACTCTCCTCTAATGTCACACACAAATAAAATGTGTTTTTCAAATTAAATGTTGCACACACAAAAATAATTTGTTTTAAAAGCTGAACTCTAACTTTGACTCAAAATATAATTTATAAATTGTCCCCCAAGTACATAATGATCCGTGCTTGAATACAAAACAGCCTCTCCTTGCGTACCAAACAATTCTACGCACTTCCAGCAAATTTCTGCCAAAAGTCACATGATAAATGAAGAATTGTCATTCTGACTAACCGACAGCAGGAGGCGCCATCTAATCAAAACAACTGAAACATTCCTGCGAGGGTAGTGTAAACAGGGCTTTAGTAAAACTGTTGCAAACTGGGCATATATTTGAATTTAACAAAAGAGCATTCTTGTCTGAACCTTATATGTTTACCGTAAATCCTTTAATATAGGCCTCAGGTGCATCTTGGTTCAGGCCATTATTGGAAGGAGGCCAGAATTAGAGGCAGGCCTCTATTTCTATTTGTTTAAAACAGACTACCAGTGGAATGAATAAAAACGAGATCTTGTGTCTCTTTGATAGCTTTTTTAAACAAATTTTTTATTGGCTGAAGAAACCGAAGCTTTGCATGTGGTCATAGTCTGTATATGCAAAGAAAGCAGGTTTTTTGCATCTCTTATTACCTTCTACAGGATGTGTTCCAGGATGTTCATTTCTGTCCAATTTGGACAAAACACATTCAAAACAGAAAGTGCAGATTTGAAATTTTCTTAAAATGCAGGAGTCTTAATTATTTTATAAAGTTTACATTATAGCACTTAATTTTAAAGTTGTAAAATGTTTTATCTAAATTTAACCAGGTTAGTTCATTGGCTATTTATATTGGTCAAGAAGTGAATTAGATAAGGATGAATAAGAAGGATGAGCTTTATATGCTTTAGTTAATAGATTTCTTAAACAAATGTTATATTTGCTGACGGAACCGAAGAGATGCATGTGGTCATAGTCTGCATATGCAAAGAAAGCAAGTTTTTTTGCATATATTATTACCTTCTTCTATGGGATGTGTCTGTCCAAGTTAGAAAAAACACATTATCACAACAGAAAGTGCTGATTAAAAGGATCTTTGAGTTCCTCTCTTTTTCTATATGTTTTCTATAAAAATTGGCAATTTATTTTACCACATTTTATTATAATATTCTTCTTTTGCAGACAGAAGTTCCACAAATCTCTAGTTTTCATAAAAGTGTATAGTCTTGTTTTTTATTTATACGTTAATAACTTACTCTGGTTGTTTAAAAGTTTTTTCTAAAAGATTAGCACTCCGTGCTGGTAAAATATATATTTTTTTTAACGCTTTGATTTTGCTAAATTAGTAAATATCAAACTGGAAATACTCCATCGCCAGAGGTACGATACTTGGCATGTATGCAGGGGGAAACAAGTGAGTACCCTAGTCCGGATAAGCCAGTTAGCACCTTCCAGCAAAGTGTTGTTTCAATAAAGACAAGTCCAAGATCTAGTGTGAATAAATAATTTGATTCCAAGATTGAAAAGACTGGAATAGATGGCCGCTCACACTGAGCCTGGTTCTGCTGGAGGTTTCTTCCCGTTAAAAGGAAGTTTTCCTCTCCACTGTCGCTACAAGCATGTTTGGTGTGAGGGATTGCCTCTGAGTCAATGATTGGATGTAATCAGCAGGTTTTCCTTAGATAAACAACCTTGAACCATATGACTGTATGATCTGGTTGAATTGTCTTTATAAAGTGCCTTGAGATGATGTGTCGTTAATTGGTACTATATAAATAAGCTGAACTGAAATTGAATTGAGCTGGAATTAACTTTGGTTTTCACTGAAGCAGAACCTATAGATCAGATTAGCCTGCTAAGTTGAAGGGTGTGTGAGTAAACTACCTTATTAATGCTATTATGAGTCGTAGCGATGATCATTTTAGCCTTTACAGTCCAAAGTGTAAAGAATATCATTAGTAGAACGATTGATTGGTTCTTACCTCGATGCTGTGTATATTTTTGCATTTGATAGGAATGGGGAGGATTGACCGGAAATTAAAGTTGGTGAAGATTAATTTATTTTACAGAGATCTGTTGGTCTGACCACCCCGACCTGTTGGTTAACTGCGAGGCATTGTGGGACGGTGGGGCTCTACTAAGTAGTCGCCACGATTCAAGATGTATTGTTTAGAAACTGAAATACATAATGAGTTTTACAATTGATCCGGACATTAAAGACTTACTTTTTGGACAACGGGTGTTGAGTTCAAAGTTTCTACCTTTTCTGTTTAAGATCCTTTTTTCTTTATTATTATTTCAATTCCTAATAGCATAGCTTAAACCTAGGCAAAAATCTAGTAGGCATTTGCAGGTGAATGAAGCAGGGGCCATATTTAGGAAGGTGTTAAGCTTTTAAAACAGCTTTAATCACAGGTTTGAAAAAATAAAGGTTCAGTTCTGCACCGGTAGCTTGTCCAAGTTGTTTTTTTCCAACAGCGGATATAAAGGTGGAGCTTTTAGGACCTAAGGACCTGACCCAAAGGATGACTAGTCAAATTAGGGATTTTGATAGGGAAATCTTAAAGACACCTGAAGGTTAAAGATAGAGACAGGTGGTATATGAACATTTTTTCAATGTTTTTTCAGTAGTTCGTTTAACTTGATTTGAAGATGTTTTCTAATTCAGCTCTAGTTGAAAATAATAATGATGACAACAGACTGTCACTCTAATGTTTTTTTTTCTCTGTAAAGAAGTTAGTATATTTATTGCAAAATTGATAGAGTGGAGTTCAGATACTACCGATACAGCAGGTAGTCGACTCAGACAGATAATATTCTCACTGATGATCTGATAGTAATAAATTGTTAAAATTTTACCTTTTGGTGTTTGTTACATCTGTAGAGTCTCTATTGATGTCATAGTCAACTCAGAGTCGAATCTCTGTTTTTTTTTTTTATGTCTGACTGATGGAACATTTCTCCCCGGAGACCTTTCTTTTCACAAGACAATTTTTACTGTAATTTGAGGAAGATTATATAGCTAATATAATAAAATGAATGATAGATGATGTATATACTACATCATCTACAGCATTACCTGGCTAAAGATTTCATTACCACCATCTTCAAAGATGTGCTTCCATATAAAGTCTAATTCGCCAATAAAAGGTCAGTTGAAGTCTGTCTGTATTTTAACAGACATTTTACCAATCCAGGTAAATCTTTCACGAAATGTGTTCTTTGATGAAATGATATCCATCTTAGAGCATAGCTAAGTAAACCAACCAAATTAGAAAAAGTTTTACCTTCTAGTCAAGATATTTATATTTTCTGTACAGTTGGGAGTGTTTTAAACAGAGATAAACATTCATAATTTCATTGAGGCTGGTTTACAGAATGTAGCTGGATAAATTAAGCAAAGGAAAGTCTGGATTTTTCTTCTTTATTTTGCTGATTACAACAAATTTGGGGAAATATGATTGCAGGACTTGAAGGTTTTGTAATATAAGTTGACAACACATTCCTCCATGGTCCTCTGCACAGTTAATTTTGACTCTTTGAATTTGGATTTTAAGTCAGATCTGATTTGTTTTTGTCAATACGTTAAAAAGGTAAAAGGGAAACATATAGTAGGAAACACAAGTGACACTATGTACACCACAAACTTGTTTTATTAAAATCTTGTGTTACAAGTAAGATCAGAGAAAATTTCAAACCAACTTCTAAGACAGGAAATATTGTGCTCAACAACTAAATCTGGGCAATCAAAAATGAATTAAAGTTAAAAACAAATACATGTTTGAATAAAGAACAGAAATCTGATCAAATGATGAAAAGTACACATTTTTAGACAATGATCCCAAGACTGCTTCTGTATCTTAATGCGTGACATCATTCAAATGTTTTCTGATAAATACAAATGTCAGCAAGAACTAAACCATATATATAATCAAATAAAAACATAGAAGAAATGTAACTAATTACTGAAAATTACTTAGTGTATTACTTAGTGTAATGTTAGTAGCAAATAAAAGGCAATTTCTCTTCACAATCATGAGCCTCCAGCAATAAATCATCTGTAAGATCAATCCCATATGCTGTCATACTTCCAAAGTCACCGAAAATGCTACATCCTTCAACTGAAGCACCTCCAGACTCAGTGGAAGTACTTCCGGATCCAACTGAAGCGCCTCCAGACTCAATAGAAGAACTTCCGGACCCACCTGAAGCACCTCCAGACTCAGTGGAACTACTTCCGGACCCACCTGAAGCAACTCCAGACTCAGTGGAAGTACTTCCGGACCCACCTGAAGCACCTCCAGACTCAGTGGAAGTACTTGCGGATCCACCAGAAGCGCCTCCAGACTCAGTAGAAGAACTTCCGGACCCACCTGAAGCACCTCCAGACTCAGTGGAAGTACTTCCGGATCCACCAGAAGCGCCTCCAGACTCAGTAGAAGAACTTCCGGACCCACCTGAAGCACCTCCAGACTCAGTGGAAGTACTTCCGGACCCACCTGAAGCACCTCCAGACTCAGTGGAAGTACTTCCGGATCCACCTGAAGCGCCTCCAGACTCAGTAGAAGAACTTCCGGACCCACCTGAAGCACCTCCAGACTCAGTGGAAGTACTTCCGGATCCACCTGAAGCGCCTCCAGACTCAGTAGAAGAACTTCCGGACCCACCTGAAGCACCTCCAGACTCAGTGGAAGTACTTCCGGATCCACCTGAAGCACCTCCAGACTCAGTGGAAGTACTTCCGGATCCACCTGAAGCGCTTCCAGACTCAGTGGAAGTACTTGCAGATCCACTTGACGCGCCTCCAGACTCAGTAGAAGAACTTCCAGATTCTGTGGAGGTACTACCAGATTGGGCTGAAATGCTTTCAGAGTCACTTGAAGTACTTCTGGTTTCCCTTAAAGCCCTGGCGGAATAACTTGTCTTTAAGGTTGCACACTCTCTGTTAACTTTTGGACACTGTGGCTTTCCTCCTGAACCCCAGATCTCCTTATCCAGAGGCTGGTTGTCCACCCACAGCCATCCGTCCCCTGGGAAGAAATGCAACCCAATCCAGACCTGTTCAGTGGTGGGAAGTATGCTCATTTCATTCTTGATGAGGTGCATCTCTGCTTCAGAAACCACACTGGCCAGTATAGTGTGGTGTTCTCTGCAGTAGCTCCAAGCATCCTCCCAGCTCTTTTTTTCCATGACCAAGACTGGTTTGTTACAGAAGAATGGGTGCCTTTTTTGTAAACCCTCGTAAATGTTAACGGTGGACATGCTGTTGTTTCCCATAACACTTGTGGATTCATTCTGAGCTGGAAAAAGCACAAGTGTAACATAGGCATACTTGCCAAATAGAGTTAGCAGAATCAGGATGCAAGTAAAGATGCGCTGCATTGTGGAATAAATGAACAAAAGAGTGCTGTGATGCTGTGATGCAGTGGAGCTCAAATAAGATGTTTGACACATAGCAACGGCTGCTGTCTGCTTTTGAATTTGCATTATGTGAAACATTTACGTACTAAAACACTCCCCTTGTCTGCTGACGAGTTGCTGCTGTCAATTCAGATTTAAAGTTAAACCAAAAGACCTTTTAACATAAATTAATTCTTGTCATTATGTGGAATCTACCCTGTGTCATTTCTGTCTGGAGAAAATTTCCTTCCACAAACACAGAGGCAAACATATTATCTGAACGGGTTGGCAGGTTTCTTTTACAATGGGCTATGCTTTTTGAATGTCTCACAGGTGACTACAGGTCAACACTCAGGAGCCATTGCTAGGCATTCAGTCAGGGCTTCTGCAAAAGCAGCTTTAGAAGGGCACAAAATAGGTTGTTTTAGTGTTGTGCTTGCAGGGAAAAAGTCATTAGAATAGACCAAGGATTTGTGTAAACAAATACAATTGTATGATTGCTGTCTTCTGCCTAGTGTCCATTGTTTGCTGTGTTCTTGCTCTCATCCTTTCCATCCAAGGATTAGGGATGTAAAGTAGCCTTCAGGCTAATCCCAGCATATTTAAATGTAAATTCTAGAATTGTGCTGCTTTAAGTGTTTTCGCTAAGGGGAATTTCAAGACGAGAAGAAATATTTTATCACCTGAAGAACATTTTCAGGATTAAAGGACTAATGTCCAAGCAGGATCTAGAAAAACTTTTTCATGCATTTATGTTTAGTAGAATTGATTACTGCAACAGTGTCTTAATGGGTTTGCCAACAAAGTCAATTAGAAAGCTGCAGCTGATCTAAGGCTACGTTCACACTGCAGCCTGAAGTGACCTAAATCCGATATTTTGCCATATGCGACCTGGATCTGATCTTTTCATGGCTGTCTGAACAAAACAGATGCGATTTTTTCCATATACTGTATGACCCAGGCCACTTGGCTATGTGGTCCTGAATCCGATACGAATCAGATTTTTCTTCAAATGAGACCTGTGATTGAACGGCCAGGTCGCGTTCATATGACCTGAACGTCATTAATACGGTAGGTCACTATTCTGAAGGGGCAAGGAAAACAACAACCATGGCAGATGATGATGTGGAGAGCAGTACTTATGTTTAAACACATTGTAAAGAACACGTTTTCATGGTTGGAAAAGACCACTAGATGCACGCCGGCACAACCATCCATGTTTACTTCCGTAAACACGGAGCACGCTGGCCTGTCACGTCATTGCATCCTCTACTGCACATGAGGGACACTTGCGTTGTATGACTGCAGTTCACACAGGAGATCACATACCATTCGCATATATTTGGAAATATGAACTGCAACAAAAAAAAATCGGATTTCACAAAGAAAAATCGGTATTGAGCATCAAGACCTGCAGTGTGAACGTAGCCTAAAACTCTGCTGCCTTTGTTCTCACATCAGCCTGGTTCTGAAGTTCTTACAATGGATCCCTGAGGCTCAGAGAATATACTTTAAAATCCTTCTGTTAGTTTATAATTCACTGAATGGACCAGCACCTCAATAGATAACAAATTTGTTGTCAGTGTATCAACCTCCCAGACCACTCAGGTATTCTAGTTCCAGTCTACTCTGTTCACCCAGAACTAGAACCAAACGTGGAGAAGCAGCATTTAGTTTCTATGCTGCACTTATCTGAAACAAACTTCTAGAAGACTGTAAACATGCTGAAACCCTGAGTTCTTTGAAGTCAAAATTAAAAGCCGATTTGTCTGGAGCTGCCTTTGACTGTTGAAGTTAAACTGCAACTGAGGTATTATCAGTTTAAGCTTGTGGTCTGCTGTTTTATCTGCTTGTATCGTTTTTATCTTTACTTGCTTTTGATCTGCTTGTTTTTCTCTTCTGTTTTGTTGTTTAATTTTTGTAAAGCGCATTAAATTGTAACAGATGGCTGAAGCTCACCAAAATAAACCCCCAAAGAAAGATGCATACATTAGCTTGTCTCACACATAGTAGACATAAGGAAAGAAAGTATTTTTGTAAAACTTTTGTAAAACTAAGGCGGGCTTTAACTAAACGTCTTTTCACCTGAAGGACTAAGGGCTATGCTGTGGAAACCAACATTAGGATTTCCTTATGTTAAATTAACTAACAATAGGAAGCATCCTGCTTCCTCTCCTAACTCCTTCCTTACTGCCAGGCACAAAGGGACAGCACTTATGGTGACCACGGATGCATTTCCACCTAGGCTTCGGATAACATTGGATGGATTGTCTTAAGGATATACTGCATGATACCTGGTATCAAGGTGTTACTTTATTGCCGCGGTTCTCAAAGTGTGTGGCGCGACCCACTGGTGGGGAATTGAGACGTGACAGGTGGGGCGCGCCAAGTTCCGGTGTGTGTGTGTGTGTGTGAGACTATAAATGTACAACGTGTGAGAGCAAACTGTCCTTATAGCTGTATGTTGCCGCTTTTTAGACCAATCAAACCCACAAAGTAATCCTTACTAGCCTACATGCAGTCTAATTAAAAGAACATTAGATATGAGAAAAATTTCACCTGGAACTGAAGTGCCAAAATAATGATTGACGTGACGTCAGCATATTATTTGTAACGGAATAAACTTTCTCGCCCCAGTGTTGCCAACTCAACTTTGTCGCTATATTTCAGACCCCTCCAGCGACTCTTTTTCAAAAAAGCGACTAGCGACAAATCTAGCGACTTTTGGAGACTCTTACGGGAAAGCACGTATCGTTCCTTTTCTTGTCCTCCAGCGGCAGGTGCTGCCGTGGGGCGCCTCCTCCCTCCCAACCCCGTTCTCCCCCGCTATCGCAGGAGTCCCTCTCAGCGCTGCAGTAAGGGACACAGCATGTTTAACTTTAGCGTCCAGACTGCAAATAAAGCGCACATGCGCCGGGATTGACGGCGCAGGTTGATCATAAATAACTGAATTTGAAATATTTTATCTTAAATGAATAACGGCGTTTGATTCACACAGCCACATGTTCATGTTTCTGGTTTGGAGTGGAGAGGGAGTATCCACTCATCGGGCAGAGAGCTGTGTGCATTCTTCTTCCCTTTGCCACATCATATCTCTGTGAGATGGGCTTTTCAGCTGTTGCTTCACTGAAAACAAAGCATGACTTGAGAGTGGCAGTATCAAGCCTGCAACCCCGTTTTGAGAAACTGTGCAATGCAAAACAGGCTCATTGCAGCCACTAATGCAGGGATAAATAGACCTGTCTTGCCAGATGGATTTCACTTCTTTTCTTTTATTAACAGATTGCAGAGTGGCACTTTAATTTTTTCTATCTTTGAGCTTGATACAAATTTTGACACAGCTGCATTTTTATTTTCTTTATTTTTGAGCTTGCTGTTATTTGATGTAGATAGTTTGTATTTAGATACTACTTGTTACTTCAATAAAATTGGAACATTTTAAGATTGTTTCATATTTCATTAGCATTGTGTTGGGGCGATGGGGACAGGCGGGGCTTGAAAATTCCCCCTTGTCCAAAGTGGGGAATGACAGAAAAAGTTTGAGAACCACTGCTTTATTGTATCTCTTATACTATATCCATTGGTTGTGCTGTTCTTTTTACATCTCTTTGCAGGTTATCTCCCTTTTTTCTTCTCCTTCTTTCATCTTTTCTCCTTTTTTTCAGCTTTTTCCTTTTCTACTTACATTGCAGTGTCCATAAAATCTTTGATACTCCCTGCATGAATTATAATAAAGCTATTTATATGGTATTAAATTAAGCGGTACACTATGACTAGTATTAAAAATACTGTCCTGTGTTCATGCACAAACCACGCATTGCATTATTTCAACATCTGATCGCATAAAAAATGAATTGCTGGATAAACTCCAGCCTGAAATTGTCAGCCTGAAGATTTTTAGGCAGTGTGTCCAGCAGATGGCGCCACATGTTCAGACTTTTTCCTCCATCAGTATTTGCTTGCAGTAACTGATCTGTTCATAAGACACTTCCACAGAAACATACTGGGAACCACCAGGAACCGGCCCCATGATATGCACTGTTCTTTATGCATGTTATTGTTCCAAAGTGCACCCTCCATCCTAGCTACGTACATAGCCACTGAGAGCATTCTTTTCCATGCTTTAACAATAAAAGAAAAGAATATCAATGTTTAGAAAACTGAGTGAAACTGTCAGAAACTGCATGTAAAATATTTTTTTTTAGTTGTTGATGTTGTTGTTAATGTATTCTGTTCTATTTGTGTCAAAACTTTTTCCAACTTTTGTTGTTTAGATTTTCACATTTCACCATTTTCCAACTTCTTGCTGGTCAGAGGTCATTAGCCGCTAGCTTAAGGTTGTTGTACACACTATGCAAGTATTTCATGAAGTTAGTTGTGCTATTTTATGCTCCAGACAGTTCTCTCACCTGCCCTCCAGCGCATAAAGTGCATCTTACTGTCGTGTTCTTATCCACTGTGGGTGGACTGGGACAAAAAATCGCCCCTGGCATTTTGGACTACACTGGCCCACAACAT